GAGTCGCAGCTTCCCGAGTTTACGATTTTTCGCCGCTTTACTGCACCCTCCTGCGTTTCCGGTTTTGCGAGCTGCCTTATTTCCGCGGATCCCCGAGGAAGCGGGATACGTGTATACAAGTACATATGTATCCACTTCTATTGACATCTAAGATGCACCTATACCCGTAACGCACAATCGTGCGTATATGAGGAATGTCAAAGCTTCGAATTCTAATGCACCCCGAGCCGTTACAACGGTTTGCCAAGTGCACCGACAAGTGCACCACCAAGTGCAGAAATGCTCGTCGAACCGAGTTAACGCCTCCCTCGGGAATCATCAGCGATATCCGCTTAAAGTTTCCGCACCTGAAGGCCGATTTCCACCTAAGGACAGTTCGAGTTCATCGACACCCCTGACACCGTTCGCCCTCGGCAAGGCTTCAATTTTGTAAACCGGATTAAAGAATAAGACCCCCTGCCTAATTACTTTCCTTAAGGTGAAATGAAACCCCCTTCAAATCAGTCGATTCGAATACAACACTTTTTTTTTAAGGGTGTTAGATCAAACTGTCCGAAACTTTGGCACATTACTCCTGATCATCTAAGAATTGTCCTGACACATTGAAAATATGGATTTTTTAAAAATTTGTTTAATTCAGCCCAGACCAGATCCAAAATGGCGTCGAGCTCTCATATTTCGATCGATATACAATTATCGAAGGCTCTGATATGAGAATCGAAAGGGTCAGGACAATTTTACGACAATTTAGAACACTCTGGTAATCGATAAACTCGCATTTGAACGGGATAAAGGCAAAAAAAGTGTTGTATGCGCTTTTATGCTAAAACGATGGGAATACGAGGTCTCGGAGTGAAAATTTAATTGACCTGGAAATCACAGATGGCGCAGGGGGTCCCTCTGCAGTCAATTAGGGCCCCAGAAAGCACGAATCCGGAGGCTTTCTGGAGTTTTACTTCGATTTCTTTATAATTATTGTACGAAAACGACAGGTGGAGTATGCCATTTGGTACTATACCCAATATAATTCGACCCAGCTGTCGATATAAAAATGAACGTCGACAACGCAGGCATTTAGAAAAATTTTCTTTATCCACGTCGATCAAGTTCCTCGACGTGTTTCAGTTCACCTTAAACATTAAGATTTAATTCTTTGGTAAAAGAGCGAGGGTATAAATAACACCCGTCGTCCAGACCTCCCGATATTGAAAGTGCTCCTTAAGGGTGGAATTTCATTACGATGTGCTTTGTCCAGGGGCTCAACGTATCCCTGGGGAAGGGCTGTATTAAAGGTTCAGCTAGAGAGAAAATGAAGTCTTTTTCCATATTCTTGTGTAAATCGAGTCCCCGAGATTAACTCGGACAAGGGAAGGAGCCGGTCACTTTATCCCGGGGGTTATTAAGCTCGGTGATAAGAGTTATCCGCAAGTGGCGACGCGCCAGGAAACGAGACCGAGCTTTTCGAGTGGACCGAAACTTCCCCAGAGAGGAAAGAATTTCATCCCTGTCCGATATTCCCAGGATTATGCTCACCCCTTTCAAGATTCTCCATCCAAATTCAAGCAACTTCGCCTTGGAGTTTTATTAATAATAGGGAAAATTTTTCCCTCATTCGTGAGATAATTTTCGAAAGATTAATTAAATTACCCTCGAGTGAGTAATTCTCTCCTTGCCTCGATATTCCGAGAATTATGCTCACCTCTTTCTCGCTTTTCACTCCTTCGCAAACTCGAGTAACTTCGTCCTGGCTTCGGGTCTCCCCAGAAACAGCTTTTGCCACCTCGCGTACGCGGAGTTAATTCCCGTTTAATAAGTAAATTACGAGGAAGATCCTTAAGCCTGTCCACGAATAGGAAAATTAAACTGGCAGAGCGGGAAAGTTTTCCCGACGCCTTTCGACCCGGCGATCTTAATGATCCAAGATGGCCGAAGTCAGGGATCATCCGGCCGAGGGTGGGGAAAGGAATTTCATTCCCACCAAGCCATCCAATTCATCGGGTTTTGCCAGAGCCCTGTCATAAATACGGCGAGGAATGGGCTGTAAAAATTACAAGGATTTACGACGCCTCCGGAGCTCGGAGAGAGACAAAAAAGAGACGAAACGCGGCGACCTCGCGACGTCTTCTTCGTTTCCTCTTCTTTCTCGACTCTCCGAAACGCCCTTAAAGGGTCTTGGTAATTTTCAGGACACGTGGGGAATTTCATCGAATTTCCGTGGGGGTGATAAATAACGATTAATGCTCGCCTTGGTTAAAAGAAAGCATCCCCGAGGAGCTTGCGACCAGTCTGTTACATATATATATGTATTAGTCAAGATTCAGCAGAGCCACCATTTGCAATCCTCAAGGGGCGGAAAATGGGGTTTCGAAAGAGTCGGAAGAAAGAGGGTGAATTGTCCACCCGAGGAGAAAGTAAGCCGAAAAGGAGGAGGAAGCTGCTGATATCGCAGAGTTTCATTTTGTGGTTAATTGCCCGAGCTTTCCAGCCCCGTTTAAGCTCGCTGTTTAAACTCGTGCTTTTTCTCGGCAAAAGAAGGTGGAGAAGGAAAGCTCCAGCCGAATACGTCGACGCGATTTCCCTTTCGGAGTTTTTGACCGAGGGGAGGAAAGCTCCAATGCCTCTTATCACTCGAGGCTTGAGCTGCAATTAGCCCTCGAGCCTCGCAATTAAGTGCACTTTGAGTCGGGGAGCTTTCCTTCCGTATTTTTTCAGCCCCCCCTCGAGCACCGAGCTAATAAGTGCCCTAATTGGACTACAGGTCGGTCTCGGTTATGGTTGAAAAATGGGAAAAGAGAAAAGATTTCAAGCCACCTTGCGTCGGAAAAGCTCCCCGCGTCTCGACTTTCCTGCTTGTCTGATAAAAAGAGCTTACGGCGTTTTTACATATTCTCGGCCATGATGCGCGAAAACGCAGACAAATTAAATATCTTCGCATGGCGACTGCAAGCTCGACTGTCGAATTCGAATTTAAAAGTTCGAATTAGATAAAGAGAGCTTACGGCGTCTTTACGTATTCTCGGCCATGATGCGCGAAAACGCAGACAAATTAAATATCTTCGCATGGCGACTGCAAGCTCGACTGTCGAATTCGAATTTAAAAGTTCGAGGATTCTCCCATGAAATTAGATAAAGAGAGCTTACGGCGTCTTTACATTTTCTCAGCCGCGATGCGCGAAATCGGCGACTAATTAAATATCTTCGTATAGCGCCTGCAAGCTCGACTGTCGAATTCGAAGTTAAAAGTTCGAGGATTCTCCCATGAAATTAGATAAAGAGAGCTTACGGCGTCTTTACATTTTCTCAGTCGCGATGTGCGAAAACGGCAACAAATTAAATATCTTCGCATGGCGCCTGCAAGCTCGACTGTCGAATTCGAACTTGAAAGTTCGAGGATTCTCCCTTGGAATCCCACGTCCGGCAAGTTTCCCCTGGCCGATAATTCTCGCATTTTACTTCCTCCCTTTTCAATCCGAGGAAGCTCTACTCCGAGGTGCTTTGCGCGGGTGCTCGCCCGTAAAGGAGCTTCCGGGCGCTCCGGGAGCTTTGCGGGGGGCGAGGTATCCCAGCCCGCCAAGAATTTACTCGGGGTGGGTTTAATCGAAGTCAAGACTCGCTTTAAAGTGATTTACGCCCCCTGCGCTTAGTCAAACGGATTATTTGCCCGAATCATCGCCCCCTCTTCCGAGCTTTGACTTGGGAAGTCTTATTCGCCCCCCCCTGGAGGGACCTCCGAAAGTTTACCTTTCTTCCTCCCTCGGAAGTTTCACTTTTGCCAAAAAGAAACTTCAGCCCGAGACCCACGGGGGATTTTTCCCTCCATCTTTCCTTCTATTATCAAATCCTAGTTTCCGCCCGTTTTGTTATCAAATTCTCATAATGCCCCTCGTATTTTCTGGAGAAAATGGCCCCGCTTTTCCGCGCAGCGGGAGTTCTCGTTATCGATGTCAGTTGTCGTGGAAAGGGATATCGCTCGCCTTATGAGTCGCAGAAATTAAAAGCGATAAGTAACGGAAACCGGACAAAACCATCTAAAGTAACGATGCTTGGGGATAAACCCGTAATTATCCAGTGATTAGAGAAATTCTTTCACGTTCCTCCTTAGAAAATCCGTAAAATCTAATCCGAGGTCCCAAATCTCGTCCAAAACGTGACTCACGAAGTGTTTTTACCCCGAAGACGAAAATCGCGGTCGAACGTTTCATCTCCGAGATAATGGATCACTCTGTAATCACGAGTCAGTCATCAAATCATAGACCAATCGAGGTCACTACAAACGTTTCTACGAAATTTTATATATTTTTTTTTATATCCTTAATTCCACAATCTTGCAGAAATAAGCTCGAATGAATTTACGAATTTACTAAATTCAAGATTTAAGGGGATGTGAAAGTGGCATCCGAGAGCTCAATCGTTCATAAAACTTTTTCTACGAACTGGGTGTCTCAAATCGTTTCATACTTTAAAACGTGAATATGGAGACCTTAAGGTAGGTCCTGAAACTCGGAAAATTTAATTTCTTATCAACTATTTTTAAACTATTTTTAAAATACATATTTTTAAAATAACCTCTTCGATGCAACTTCCACATCGCCTTAAGAACGGATAAACAATATTCAATCGGTAGGAAGTAAATTTAGTCGAGTCGTGATTATTGCCCCCTCAAAATAGAACGACTCTTATCACCCCGTATAAACAAAGACCACGTTCGCAAATCGTGATAAATAATTACTCCTATGAAATAATTCCAAAGAACTCATTGAACGATTAAAAAACAAAAAAGAAGAAAGGAAGTTTCCAGCGAAAACTCGTGAGTGAAAATCTGAAGATGCAGCTCTTTGGGAATTAATTACTCGGCTAATGGATTCAAGCAAGTCATGCGACATGGACAAGTTCGTAATCAGGAACACGCGCTATTATGGCATAAGTAATGATTCCGAGTAGTGGCCTTGGTAAATATACACGACATGGTGCTGATAAGTCGGGGGCCAATCGGGCCAGTCTGGGGCTAGAAAATTCCACCGATTCCCGATTTCACGGTTCGAGACGACCCGAGAGAATCGACTCTGACATTCCGAGTTCGTCCAAGGGAAGAGTGGCAAACCAATTCGACGTCTCCAAATCGGCCGTAATTTGCCTCTTGGGCTGTTTTCCAAGCAGGAGTTAAAGTTAAGGGAAAAGTTGGCCCCAGTTGTGGAGCATTAATAATAAAAGTGCGATCCCCAGGGGACGGAGAGTCCAGGCGAAGTGTCGGTAACGGAAGTGGAGTTGGAGTGAGTTTCTTTCACGGGAGTAAAGTAGATTTTCTACTTAAATCGATCGAGCGACCGTAGGAACGGGTCGGAAGCCGAGGAAAGAAAGCGAGGCTCCGTCGAGCGGAGAAGAATCGACAAACTGGCCGATAACCGACGGATAAGATGGCGGGAAAAAAGATGTTGATATCGCTGCTCCTGGTGTTCGGGGTTTTCGCGTCGGGGGAGACCTACAGGATCCTCGGGCTCTTTGCATTCAACGGGAAGAGCCACTTTGTCATGTTCGAGAGGCTGATGAAGGCCCTGGCCAGCAGGGGCCACCAGGTGGACGTTGCCAGCACCTACCCCTTGAAGAAACCCTATCCGAATTATACGGACATCATCGTGTTCGAGCAACCTAATGGGGCTTGGGTGAACAATCTGACATTTTCCACTTTGCAGAACGACTTCTTGGTCTTCAGAATTGCGCCCATGGTCGGCCATATCGGAAATGACATCTGCAAGAATATGAAGAATCCCGATCTACAGGCAATCGTGAAAAACCCTCCGAAGGACCCTCCCTACGATCTGGTGATATTAGAGGTGAGCTTCGGTATCAGCTTATAAGGAACTTCTAAAATTATCAACATTGATTTGCAACCAAAAGACGCATTAATTATGATAATTGTCCCTGTCGCTCAAAAACCTGTAGAAGAAAATCATAAGTTCCCAGCCTCCCCAAGTCCGGCATTTTTAAACGTTTTGACTCTATTAATTTTCCTTAAATCCCCCTTAAAAAAAAAAAGAAAAAAATTCACCCGCGAACATAGGACCATAATAGAGTGAGCTCGAGGTCGGGTTATGTTTGGTGACAGTCGTTTCCCGATTTTCCAGATCTTTGCTGCGCACTGTTTCGTAGCGATCGGTCACAAATTTGGCGTCCCGGTGATAGGAGTGAGTTCTTCCGATCTGTACCCCTGGGGGAACCGATTAGTGGCCAATCCTGAAAACCTCGCCCTGGTTCCGACCAACCTGGCTCCCCAGCTAGATCTACGGTTCTTCTGGAACAGGTTGACCAACGTGATCGATGCCTGGATCGATACCGCTGAATTCGACTACGAAACGACTTCGATCCAGAACGAGTACATCAGGAAATACGTGGGACCGGATGTTCCTGGGGTCCGTGAGTTGGAGAAAACCATTGCCTTGATCCTGGTCAACACCCACATATCCATAAATGGTATCAAACCCACAACACCGGCCTTGGTGGAGGTAGGGGGACTGCACATCCATGACGACGGTCCTGACCTACCCCAGGTGACTATTTTGTATGGTTTTGCCTAAACAGCGTCGTCCGAGCCATAAAGAAATTTCCCTCGTGGTTCCTTTCCCCTCGGTTTGACAAATTTTCATTTTTATCCAGGACCTGCAACAATGGCTGGACGAGAGCAAGGATGGGGTCGTCTATTTTTCTTTTGGGTCCATGGTGAGGATAGAGACTTTTCCTAGGGACATCCTTTTAGCGATCTACCAGTCCCTGCGAAAAATCGCGCCGGTTCGGGTGCTGATGAAAATCCCGGATCCTAGGGACCTTCCACCAGGACTGCCCGATAACGTCCTGACGCGTCCATGGATATCTCAGCTGAAGGTCCTGAGTAAGTGCCCGATAAGGAATCACGCAAAGGCGACTCTACAAATCGCTTCGATCCGGAGCCAGATCTGAATTGCAAAGAGTCACGATACCCTTTCCCTTGACAAAAGCGACGGTTTCGTCATCGGGTACATTTGTAAGCGGCAGGTGCTAAGATTAATAACCCTTATCAGTCTTTCTTAACGTATGGACGAATGATAAACGTTTCCGCATAATTTAGCAAACAGGCGCCTCGGTATATCTATGATAATTCCCAGCGCGACAATCGTCAAATGATACAGAAAAGGAAAATAAATTCGACGTACCGAGTCCTGCGAAAAAAGATTCGCGGTTAATGGAAATAGGAAAATCTCATATGGTGGGCGTTTTTCAGATCACAAGAACGTGAGGGCCTTCGTAACTCACGGGGGTCTTATGGGGACCCAAGAGGCCATCCACTACGCCGTCCCCATGATCGGCATCCCCCTGTTCGCCGATCAGCACCTCAATGTCGATTTCTACGTCGAAAAGAAAATCGCTGTTAAGGTCGACTACAAGACCCTTACCGTCGAGAAAATGGACGCCGCCTTGAACGCCATTCTTTACGATCCAACTTATAGGTAACGTAAACTAACAAAAGCAACTCCCTTAAGCTACTCGAGTTTAAATAATGCCCCGAGCTTTTTAAACTCTCCTTATCTTTTTTCTCCAGGGAGACTGTTAAGGAGCTCTCCGATAGATTCCTGGATCGTCCTCTAAGCGCCGTCGACACCGCAGTGTTCTGGGTCGAGTACATAATCAGAAATGGCGGAGACTCGTTGAGGTCACCAGCTTTAGATTTGGCATGGTGGCAGGAGGCACTTTTGGATGTCTTCGCGGTCTTCTTATCAGCAATCTTAGTTCTGATTTATTTGGCGTACCTGTTGATCAGGTTGCTGGCGCGAATACTCAGGAGGAACCGCCTCAAGGCGAATTTGTCGAAGAAAAATAGGTGACCGATCGTGTTCAATTAGAAGCACGCTAACTGAAGGATAATTAGCACTGGGGGGTTGGATCTTATCATAAGACAATAACCGATAATTTTAGACTAGGACTTATAATTTAAGGACGTCGAACGAGGTACTTAATCACGAAGTTGGGCGACATCTGCGAAAATCATCGACCCATTTTAAATAAACCTTAATCTTCCATGTCAATTTTAATTTCTAGAGTTTAATTAACATTACTCCCCCTGAACTAATAGTTAATCGATCAAGAAGTTCCCTTAAAAAGCTTCCTTAGTAAGTCTATCAATAATCCTTGCAAAATACGAATAGAGGCGTTTTGTGTTGCGAAGCCATGAACAGCACCGGTTAAGCCGAATTAATTGTTATAAAACATAAAAGTAAGTGTCCTAGAATCAAAGGAAACCTTTAAGGGGCTGTTTTTCCGAAGGATCAGCGATAATTCAAAAGTGTACGGCTTAAAGTCAAGGGATTCCAGTTTGGGCACTTAGAAAGTGTAAAGCGAAGGGACCAAGGTGACAGAATCACTGTGGGTCTGATAAGAACAACGCTGCTGCCGTTATCTGTAATCGTCCTATCAGAGTGCTAGAAAATCCTGGCAATGTTCCCCTTTCAACCAAGGAGCCACCACACGATGTTCCTGGCCCTGATAAAGGTGCTCGTGGAGCGTGGCCACCACGTTGATGAAATCAGCCACTTTCCCTGGAAGTCTAGTCTACCGAACCACAAAGTGGTGGTCAGTCTGGCCACACCAGAACACTGATAACAGCCGATATCACTTGGGAAGGGACCAAGGAGATGCACGAAGCATCTTCAAATCCGTCTCTTCGACGGAAAGAAATAGGAACGTCGACAAGAATTAGGGCCTTATCATTCGGCGCGAGACCAATATTGTCATTTTTCATAATATCAATTTTTCCGAATCGAAATAAAGACACTAAGACCCTCTCGGAGATGCGACGAGGTCGAGACGTAGGTCACCGCGAATCGTGTATTTTTTATCAGCCATTGTCATGAAGCTTCCCAACAAAGACTCCTATAAATGCGTCATGTTAATCGAGTAGTTGCTGCGTAACGATGACTTCTCCTAAAAGCGTCGCGACTCCTGAAAATGAATCCACGGTAATAGGCCACCGGGAGTGAAGTATATATTTATCGAGTTAATGAAGATTCAAGTGGGAATGTGTTACATAGCCAGTGGCATATCGGGGTCACCAGCTTCCGTTCATCAGAAGTAAGCGTGATCTCGCGTAAGATGGATCGCCTAGTTTCCTAGGCTATCTAGTGTCAGATAAATAATCTCCATCGCGTAGTGGGTGATAAACCGACGTTTGGGGTAATCGATGATATACCCTCGATAAAATAATCATCGTCCACGGCGCAACGTCGAATTTGGTTCCCTAATGAAGACTCGCGTCCAAGTTCAGCTAGGACCGGAAGCTGCACGGTGAATAATGCATGATGCACTTCCAAGTGCACCGAAATGTGCTCCGATTGTAAGGACGGCTTAAGGTATCACGGAAAACTACCGATTGACTTTGTCCGTGAACAAGTGAACGTCAAAGGCCATCATCTTAACATCGACCGCCGTTGGTCAATAGAGCCTTCGGGCAGCGTCACCTTTCTCCGACGCCAAAAGACGCGCTCAGTTTGGCTCCAAACAAATGAAGAAACGGTTTAAGCCTCGCACGTGGAGCGATTAATAGTTGCTTCTGGTTAAATAGAAATGTAACGGCTGATAAGATAGCGGGGTTACTATCGCTTAAAGGAATAAAAACAGGGGAAAAGGAAAAACCGTTCTAGGAGAAACATTGTTGGAGTCGGAGCAAGTTGTCGAGCGAGTCTGGAAGTCGTGCACGGATCAATGAGTGGTTTTGATTTTTTTTTTTCAAACAATTTGTTCTTCGCCTTTATTCTTGATAAGAGGATAAAGTGAAGAAAAGTCCGGAAGTCGTGAACGGATCAATGAGTGGTTTTGATTTCTTTTTTTTAACAATTTGTTCTTCGCCTTTATTCTTGATAAGAGGATAAAGTGAAGAAAAGTCCGGAAGTCGTGAACGGATCAATGAGTGGTTTTGATTTCTTTTTTTTAACAATTTGTTCTTGGTCTTGATTTTTGATGAGAGGATAAAGTGACAAGAAGTTGACAAATCCTGCCAACAAGATGGGGTTCGGAGTATGGATCCTGCTGGTGATCCTGGCTTGTATAAACTGCACAAGGAGTTACAGAATCCTGGCGGTGTTCCCACTACCCGTGAAAAGTCATCACATGATGCACGGCTCCGTGATAAAGGCATTAGTGGAGCGAGGTCATCACGTCGACGAGATCAGCCACTTTCCCCTGAAGACAGCCGCCAAAAATCACAAGGTCGTGGTGAACCTATCCGGTACCTTGCCACAGTTCGACGGGAACCTCCCATTGGAGGAAGCATCGATGATCCGGAAGGATCCCCTGGTGTTCGTCACTCAGAAAGGCGGGACCGACCTCTGCGAGCTGATGGGCCTCCCCGAGATGCAGGACTTCCTGAAGGACCTTCCAAACAGACCCAAATACGACCTCTTCGTCACCGAGGTAAAGGATCTCGGCCTTCAGCTCCTGGCCCCAGGGTGGTCGTGTATATATAACAGTCCTTACCCTATAGGGCGATTCCCTTAACCGAATCCCCCGAGTTCGATCGAAATTTACCCCTTGAACACGTCCACTCCAGGTTCCCTTCTCTCGAATCCAGCCCTCGCTTCGAAGTTCTGATCGATTTGGCTTTCCAGTTCTTCGGGGCGAGCTGTTACCTTGGATTCGGTCACCTCCTGAAGGTCCCCGTTGCCGTGACCATTTCGCCGAACAGCCTTCCATGGCTGGACTGGAAGGTGGGGACCCCCGAATCCTCGGCTTTCTACCCCAGCATCTTTCTCGAGGTGGTCGTACCCATGGGGTTCCTGGACCGCCTGCGCAACACCGTGGACAACCTGATCCACACGTGGCGATTCGATCAGCTGACCGCGGGGCAAACCGACCTCGTCAGGAAGTACCTGGCAGCCGACGCTCCCGATGTCAGGAAGTTGGAGAACTCCATCTCTTTGGCGCTGATCAATTCATATCACAGCTTGAACGGTATAAGGCCTCTGCCCCCAGGTGTCGTGGAGGTGGGCGGACTCCACGTCGAGGTCAACGATGACAAATTGACGCCGGTGAGTGTCACTTTTACGACAAACGACTCGAGCCCTGTCTACCAACTTCTTGTCTGGAAGGAATACCTTTCCGAGATTTCGCTATATACCGCATTGCGAAGCGCTTCTTGTGACGCCTCCTGGAAACTTGCAGGAACTCAAACAGTGGCTGGACGAGAGCACGAGTGGAGTGCTGTACTTCTCTCTGGGGTCCATGATGAAGGTGGAGACTCTTCCCAAGAACGTATTACAGGCCTTGTTCGCCTCTTTCAAAAAGTTGGCCCCCATTCGTGTCCTGATGCGATCCGTCAAGAGAGAGGAACTCCCTCCCGGGCTTCCGGAAAACGTGCACACCATGCCCTGGATCCCACAACTTCCAGTCCTGGGTAAGAGCCTTAGGTCCCATAATTCGCCAAGCCTTGCGAAGCAATTATTTCAAAGGTTCGACATTTTAAATTCTAACCCACGTATCGATTAATCATTTTAAAATGTCGGCCACTTCTTCCTGTTGTTCCCAGCACACAACAACACCATGGCGTTTATAACTCATGGTGGGCTGATGGGCACCCAGGAAGCGCTCTACCAAGGGGTTCCCTTGGTGGGAATTCCTCTTTTCGCCGACCAGCACCGAAACATCAAGGATTACATGCTGAAGGGCATGTGCCTCAAGATGAGCCTCGACATCACGCAGGAGTCGTTTGACGATGTTCTGACCGAGATGGTGGTGAACAACACTAAGTACAGGTGCAGGCCTAGCTTCTCCTGGATTATTAGGAATATGCATCTCGTCGATTACCCATTCAACGTCTTCTCTTCTCCAGGGAGGCCGCTTTACACCAGTCCAAGCTCTTCCGAGACCGACCCCTGAGCGCCAAAGACGCCACGATTTTCTGGCTGGAATATGTGGTCCGAAATGGAGCAAACTCCCTCAGATCGTCAGCCTTGGACCTGGCCTGGTGGCAGATCGCACTTCTGGACGTCTTTGGATTCATTCTCGTCTCTTCCCTCCTCCTGCTGTACGCACTGATAGCGACGGTGAGAGTCGTGCTCAAAGTCCTGCGAGAAATCACCAGCAAGAAGAAGCGGGGGTCCAAAAAGACAAATTAACCCCACATCTGAACAGCTCGACGTGCATTAATTAAGCTGATAAGTAGACAATAAGGAAGTGGGTATGAATAAAACCGAGTGACAGTTAAAAAAGAATCACGGACGAGGAAGGGGACCTCATCACCGTCGGTGGGATTCGGACGTGCATCGGGATTTGTTCGAAGAATTTTCTTGAAAAATTCCCCTCGGGCTCGGTGCTCTCTTCGGCTCTTCCATTTCGTAAGGCACTAACTGACCCTGTTGGTCAGGGTCAGCTGGCAATCTTGTTACTCGGATGCTGGGCGCATCCATCGCCGTGGAGATAATGCTTCCCTAGACTCAGAGGCGGTGCACGCGCAGCTGCACTTCGACTAGCCACTTATCATCGTTGACAAGTGGATCAATCTTTTATCTCCTTCTTCCTCCGCATTTCTGGAGATTCGCCGCATTCATTGGTTGCACTCGTTGGAGGGGAACTAGGGAGAGCTGGCGTCTCTCCGAAGATCATAGTCCAGGGCAAGTAGACAGTGCCGAGCTCCCATCCCCAGTTAGCACTAGGTGTCTCTTCATCCAGTTCTTCTGGAGTTATTCCGGAAAAAGGGAGGTCAACCCTCTGAAAGAACCTGCAAGATGTCTCCCCGCCTGATGTTCCTCCTGCTGATGATCAGCATCGACGTTTCTGTGTCTTACCGGATCCTCTGCATCTTCCCCCTGCACATGAAGAGCCATCAGACGATGTTCGGCGGCCTGATTCGAGGTCTGGTCAAACGTGGCCATCACGTCGACGAGATCAGCCATTATCCTCAGAAAAGTTCCCTGGAGAACTATAGACACGTCGTGAACCTTGACGGCACCTTGCCTAAGCTGGTGAACGGCATCTCCTTGGAGTACGCCAACAACATCAGCTCGGACATCATCGAATTCATCGCAGGCACCAATGGGAACAAGGTGTGCGAGCTTCTGGCCCTGGACACCATGCAGAAGTTCATCAAGGACCTGCCTAATGGAGAACCCTATGACCTGGTCATCACGGAGGTAAAGAAGAGTCTCGGAGATCACGGGGGGTCCTAAAGGGTCTCTTTTCAGGGGTTCGGCGCCAACTGCTACATGGGGTTCGGCAAGTTCCTGAAAGTGCCCACCGTGGTGATGGTGTCTCTGAACGGACTGCCCTGGATAGACTCCAATGTCGGAAATCCGGCCAGCACTGCGTTCTACCCCAACACCTTTATGCGCGGCTCTGCCCCGTTGAATTTCTGGGACCGGCTGACCAACACCTTGAACAACGTCATCTTGAAGTACAGATTTGAGAGGTACACCGCCAGGCAGACCGAGATCATGAGGAGGTACATCAGTCCGGATCTGCCGGACATCAGGGTGGTGGAAAAGGACGTGGCCCTTGTCTTGACGAATTCCCATTACACGACAAATGGCATCAGACCGAACACCCCTGCCTACGTCGAGGTCGGAGGTCTTCACGTCGAGAGCGACGACGCCGAAATATCCGAGGTCAGTGTCAAAGCCAGACCGGTCCTCTTGATCCTTGATGTGCACTTTCCAGGACACCCAATTCGCCTCCTCGCGCTTCCTTCGGCCATCTTCGTCCTTTGTTAACTAATCGCGGTTCCAATGGCGATGGGACGTGAAATGGAGTCCCAACCCCTCGCAGGAGTATCCTTGCAAAGTGACATTCAATGTTCCAGGACCTGTCCAAATGGATGAACGAGAGCAAGGACGGGGTGGTCTATTTCACCCTAGGCTCCATGGCGAAGATAGAGACGATGCCCAGGGAGAAGATCCTTGCTTTTTACGCCTCCTTCGCCAAGATCGCCCCCGTTAAGGTCCTCATGAAAATCTGGGACGAGAGTCTGCTGCCGCCAGGACTCCCCAAAAACGTGAGGATCTCGTCCTGGATCCCTCAAGTGCCAGTCTTGGGTATGCATTAGGATGCCCTGACGAGACCTTTTAGCTTCCTTCGTGCCGATAGAATTTATTATAAATTACCATTGAAAGCATTGAAAAAGGACTCTTGGCTCACAGCGCACAAAAATACCAAGGCCTTCATCACGCACTGCGGATTAATGGGGACCCAAGAAGCGCTGTACCATGGGGTGCCCATGATAGGACTCCCTCTTTTTGGGGACCAGCACAGGAACGTGAGGGCCTACATGGCTAAAAATGTGCTGATAATGCTTCCCCATGAAGACGTCACCTCGGAGTCCATGGACGCCGCTCTGAAGGCCATTCTACGCGATCCTAAATACAGGTCTCCATCTTCTCCGTTCATCCTTGTACAATATCACACATACCACTCGCGTGTCTCATTCGTTCTTCCCCTTCAATTCAGATTTCGCAACGCGACGCGCGTGATCTGCAATTTGTACTTCATTACAGAGAAGTAGTACACGTAACGCGAGTTCAGGTCTGTCCAATGTATGGAATTAATTCCCGCAGCGCGTCAGATAACGCAACGACGTGTCGTCTCGTTTCCCCGGCGAATGGAAGTGCACTTTGCACGTAGAGTCGCGGAATCATTTTAAGGATCCAAATTGATAATTAACCATGCCCTTTGGGTTCCAGGGAAGCCGCGAAATTCGAGTCGGCCAGGTTTCGAGATCGGCCGATGACCGCCACGAACACCGCCATTTTCTGGATCGAGTACGTCGTCAGAAACGGCGCCAATTCGCTCAGATCTCTTTCCTTGGATCTACACTGGTGGCAGATCGCCCTATTAGACGTCTACGGGTTCCTGGCCCTGTGTACTATCCTAACCTGCTACATCATCCTGTTATCCCTAAGGATCGCCATCAGGATCTGTCGCGCAGGGACTACCAGACCCGACGCCAGGAAGAAGCTAAACTAAGAAGGACAAAAACCGTCCTCGAAGCCAAACCCAAAGTTATCCCACCTCATATCTCTGTAAATAACGACTGCCCAATAAACCCATTTCCTTCGTCATCTCTTAATTGAATTCCGCCTCAAAATTCGCTTCGTAATCCTTCCCGGAATGACCACGTGACGTCAGACTGCCCACACGTACTCGATTTCCCCCAGAGTTGGAAATCGCCAGCAATGGCGTAGGTCGTCATTTAAGTCATCTGAAATCCGCCATTTTCCAGATAGAAAGAGAGGCCCAGAAATACAGCACCGACTCCTGGCCCGAGAAAGTTTTCTCAGATTTTCTAGAAATTCCAGGAAACTCGTGTCTGCCCGCGCAAAGGATTTCCCTCTGCTCCGATGAGAGGACTCTTTCGGCGGTCGGCAAGGTAGGTCCCTGGAGCCTTGAAAGCCGATAACGACGGATGGGAGCAGATAGAGCCTCGCGAAGTGGGAGAAGCGAAGAAAGTGGGGTATCTCGTGGATGAGCGACGAGGGGATTTCGAGGAGCCCAACTCGATGTCGTTTTTCTGTCCTTGGACCTCCGATCCCTCCGCCGTCCGTTATCGCCAATCCAGTCGGCGTCGTGACGCTACAGAAAGCATAAGCGCCGCTCTCAGCCTCGCCTCGAGGACATTAAAACTGATTGACGCTCGCGGTTGTCGCAAGTCACACAAGAGACTCGTCAGAAGTCCCGTCGCGAGTCACGGCGGAAACCCACCGCGATTGATCGATAAGTCCTCTCGATTCAGCGCCTTGTCCGGCAGGCATCCTCGTAACCGGGATAAACAGAGAGACCGGTTCGAGGAAACCGTGAATTAACTCGATCCCCAGGTCGCCCAAGTCGAGAGGGGACGATCCCGAAGAGAGTCCCGCCAGGAAGGAGTGCCACCTGTTGAGGGTCCGTTTCCAAACTCCTCCTAGAAGCTCGGAGTCCTCTTTTTCCTCCAACTCTGGGAAGACGTCGCTTCGCACCGACTCAATGAACTTGACGGGTTAAGGTCGATTGCATGTCGTAACAATTGCGTATCGTTTACTTCTACCAGAAGACTTGCTCGTAAGAAGTTTTCGAAACGACCGATAAGTGCATTGATAAGGTGGGAAGTGGTCAGATAAGAGACATCCGTCCTCGGCGGAGCTGCCGTCGCCGGTCAGTCCTGATCTTGGTGGGAAACGACGACGAGGATGAAGTCCCTGCTCCTGTTGGGGGTCCTCTTTCTGGCCCAGAGCGAAGGAGCCAGGTTCCTGGGCCTCTTCCCGCTGCAAGGGAAGAGCCACTTCATCATGATGGAGCAGCTGATGAAGGAGCTGGCTAGACGCGGCGACCAGGTCGACGTCGTGAGCCACTTCCCGCAGAAGACGCCGTTCCCGAACTACAAGGACATCGACGTGAGCGGGACCGTGCCCATCGTGGTGAACAACATGTCCATATCGTACGTCGACACGTTCAACACCTTGTCCGTCAAGAAGCTGGTCCACATGGCCGGCACCCAGGTCTGCCAGCTGCTGGGACACCCGAAGCTGCAGGAGATCATCAAGAACCCGCCCAAAGACCCGCCCTACGACGCCGTGATCGTCGAGGTACGGTTTACGCAAAAGTCCTTCCGCCCCGGGGCTCGTCCCTCGGGATTACAGCCTCGTGGTCGTAATGGCTCGCCATTTGGGGGTAGGGTCGTTCTCCGCGCCCGGTAAGGCTCGTTTTCCCGTGGCCAGGCTGCGGGAATGTGAGCTTTACGGCAGGACCGAACGGCAACGACGGTGGGAACGATTTACCTTACTTTGCGTGGAACGACCTACGGTAAACCCGGTCCGAGCAGACTTTCGGTTTGCCAAGATGCCCGTTCAAGGTCTGATGGGCATTTGCGTCCGTGGCCGGATGTTGAGCAGATCGGAGAACATCCTGATCGTTTACCGAGTCTCGAGCTTAACCCTAAGGTCAGCGGTTTAACGCGGGCTCGACTGGAGTGATAACGAAGAGTCACATAGAGATAGGGTCCTCTTCTTGGTGATTAACAGGTGTTTACGGTCGATGATTAACTTGTATGTATCGTTAACGATTAACAGGTGTTCGCGTCCCACTGCTACTTCGCGTTCGGCCGATTGCTGAATGTCCCAGTGATCGGTGTCACCAGTTCCGGGCTCTACGACTGGATGAACGAACCCATGGGCAACCCCAGCAACCCTGCCTACATCCCAGGAGGGTTCACCGGCTTCCCCGCGAAGATGACGTTCATCCAGCGTCTGAGTAACACGCTGATAAGCCTCTTCATCAATTTCGACTTCCAGTGGTGGATCAACGAGCAGTCGGAGCTGATCGAAAAGTACTTCGGCCCGGACATGCCAAAGGTGGAGGTCCTCCAGAAGGAGCTGACACTGTTGCTGGTCAACTCGCACTTCTCCTTGAACGGGGTCAGGCCTTTGACATCTGCGATCGTCGAAGTGGGCGGACTCCACGTTAAATCCGGTGGGGTGCTTCCTCAGGTGAGCGTCACGAGCTCCGATTGACTCCTGGTTAGATGATGAAGTGCCTCGAAGACGCGTCCAGCATCGGTTCCATCCCTTCGAATGCCCTTTACGTGGTGGAACAGCTCTGAAGGATCCATCCTCTTGTCCCGCAGGAGCTCCAGAAGTGGCTGGACGACAGCAAACACGGCGTCGTCTACTTCAGCTTCGGATCGATGATGAAGATCGAGTCCCTCCCGGAGAAGACGCTGCTGGCGTTCTACGAGACCTTCCGAAAAATCGCCCCGGTTCGGGTTTTGATGAAGATCCCGAAGGTGGACGAACTTCCCAAGGGGTTGCCTGAGAACGTGAAGACGATGCAATGGATTCCTCAGGTCGAGGTCCTCGGTGAGCTGTCGAGTCCTTTTGTTTCTTCTCTCTCTTTCCCCACTAATCTTGTACATGTATTTAGCGCGAAACTCCACCCAGTTTCTTAAGAATAATCCGTAAATTTGTTCGACCTTCGTCCTCCAGAACACAAGAACGTGAAAGTCTTCATCACCCATGGCGGCAACATGGGGACCCTAGAGGCCCTTCGTTTTGGAGTTCCTCTGATCGGCTTCCCTTTGTTCGGTGACCAACACGCGAACATCCAGAATTTCGTGAATCGCAACATCGCCATCGCGCTGGACTATAAGAAGGTGGACGAGAAGCAGCTCACAGAAGCGATCACCACGATCCTGAAGGACCCCTCCTACAAGTAAGACGCCATAATGGTACCCACTCGGGGTCTTGAAGAACCTAATTACCGTAGTCACTTCTCCTGGCAAGATGCGATTTGCGAAACTCCAAATACATGAGGTTTCACTTCTGGACCGTTTGGATAACAGCGATATCGAAATTATTAGACGACAAGAGGAGGGCCGATTAAATGAGTAGTGGCCTCGAGATAGACATATTGAATACTATCACAAGCGTTATTATCCCTAGAAGTAGAGAGGGGGGAGATAATTCCCCGCGATACGATAACTCCGATGCCCCTTAAAAGATGGCCAGCATAACTATACACCTTGAATTTTCAGAAAAAACGCCGAGAACTTGTCGAGGAAGTACTTGGACCGTCCCTTATCAGCGATGGACACCGCGATATTCTGGATAAAATTCGTCCTGAGAAACGGGAATGTCCTGAGGTCGCCGAGCCTAGACCTGACCTGGTGGCAGGTGAATTTGCTGGACGTCTATGGAGTTCTCCTGGGAGGCCTTCTGCTCACCCTGTACATCCTGCAACTGGTACTTCGAGGACTCTGGAGGCTGCTGAAGGGATCATCTCGGGGGAGCAGCGGGAAGTCCGCCACCTCTTCCAGATCCAAGAAGACCAATTAACTCGGACGAACCCCTGGACTTTAACCATTCGCTCTTGTCATAACGATTATACATCGAGGAGAACTGCAGGATCAAGAAAAAAAAAAAAAAGAAAAAACATCTAATATCAGCATCTTATCAGGCGAGACGTCGAGAACGTGGGACGTCGCGTGCTGGACCCGGCGTCGGCAAGAAAGACTGTAATGGCTGCAATTTTAATAAGAGTGACACTCGGCCTGGGGAGGGGACGAGGGGAGATACTCGTAGAAAATATTACTGGGGAAAGGAAAAGGAAAATACGGAGGCAGGAGAGGAGCGACAAAAAGCAGGGCGGATCGATTGCTCCTCGAGGCATAATGCGTTGTCGGAATTTCGAGGAAGGAACGACTCTTGCGAAGGCTCCGGGGAGGATCGGGGAAAAAAGGCGTCCCAAGTGCAATCGGGATATATCGACGGGTCTGAGGAAAAGGGGGGAAGAAAGGGGCGAGAAAAGAGAGAGAGAGAGAAACCGAGCGACCTCATCCTCGGGATGTGCCGGCCATTTTGTTCTTAATCTCTCTTCTTGGAATACTTGCATTTACATACACGTAGACAGGCACGCGTGGTCGACATCGAGAGGGGCTTTAAGCTCGAGCTGCAATGGAACGTCCATCGAGCTTGCAATTAGACTTAATGGACGGCACTCGATCTCCTCGATTTGCGGGATTCGACGGACGCGAATGGGAAAGAGTCGACGCTTTGCGTCTTCTAGGTTTCGCGTGGGATAGTGCTATGTCGGGCCTCGAGAGCCCTTTTTCTAGGATTTATTTGACACGTCAATTCCTTTTTCATACGCATGTACCATCGAATGGAGAATAAAAGCGTTTTCAAGGTGTTTTCGAATAACGAGGAGCGTTCCGGCTGGCGGATTGAAGAGGCCGTTTACCCGCCGCCATTTTGATAAACACCGCGAGGTCGAAATCCGAATATTCCCGGGAACCCATTGTTTCCCCCCCAACTCCCGATCGAATGAAATTAACCCCGTGAGTTTTCCAATGATACGGAAAATTCAAATCGAGGCCTCCCCTCTTCCGGGACCTCCGAGAGAAACGGCGCGGAGGAATCCATCCCCGGAAGCGATTCAAACGCGATTAGGACTTTTCCAAGGGCCGCGGAGTGTTTCGATCTTAACGAGCATTCCGCAGTCGGTTGGGCCTGCGGAACTTTTCCACTTTAGATGCGGAACGAATCCCGCCTAAGTCTCCGTGAGCACTTCCCCAGGTTTTCTTAGTCCACTGAGAATACCAACGACATCTCTCCGAAATCATCCGGCGAGTTTAAAGGTCGCCATTTTTCCGAACAATTTATATATTATCAAAAGGATAGAAAAAAGTCAGGTTTTTATCGTGTCAAGTCTGCGGTGACGATCAGAATCTGAGACTCTCGATTTTCGTTAATTCCCCAACTCTCTCATTATCTATCCCGACCAATAGAAATCCTTAAAAGTTCGATTGCCTCTGGGAACCGATTTTTCTTCTTTTTTTTTTTTTTAAAGAAGTGCAAAAATGATAAGCCACTAACTATCGACACGAGTTCCCTTTCTAGGAGACCCCTCCCCTTTCCCTAGAGCTTTCGCCCCCCGTCCCGAAAAAATCCATACCCAAAACAGGCCCCAGAGGAGATGAAAGCTTCGCAACCCCCAAAAAATAGCGGCGACCAAGATGGCGGCCGACTCGCCCCCCGACTCGTCGACATCTTGCGAGTATATACGATGTCGTAAACATGCCCCCTAAGCTCCTGCCCGGGATCATCCGGAGGGAAGGGACAGCTCCTACGCTCTGGAATTGCATTCCTGTAAATAAACCCTCCCCCTTTTCCAGGATACCTTCCCTCCCCCGTCGACCCTACCTTCGGGTCGTTCTAAAGGAGACCATACACTTTGGCCCCACTTGTAGGGCAAAAGTCGACCTACGAGAGAAGGACCGTCGTCCAGAAAGGTCGCAGGACCTCCTCCAGGACTCGGCTTCGAGGGTGGATTAACAACCCCCGATCCTGTCGGCGGCCATCTTGTTACAGGATCGCAACGCGTAATTAATCCGCGTCCCTTCTGGCTACTTCTTGGATCCTCTCGGATCCTTTTCGGTCTCCTTCGACGAGGAAAAAAATAAATAAAAAGGGAGAGAGATACGTGGAGTCAGGACTTACCAGGTGGAGGGGTGGTGTTCAAGGCCAGTTGCTCCAGGCACTCCTGTTGCCTCTCCCACAGGATGCGACGAAGTTCTTCCTCCTGGACGGTACTGCCCGCCGTGGTGTTGCTTGGCATCTTTAGAGAGAAGTAATGAGATCGATTAATTTCTTATTTAATTAAATTTAATTGGATAACAACAGAAGGTCATAATTCCTGTATTTCTGTGTATATCGACTGTTCATAGAGTTTCTAGGGAACTCGATAACGGAGGGAAGGAGCCATAAGGATATCCGCGGTCTGCCGTTAAACGGATGGTCCTGATGGCTCCGATTATCCGAGCCGAGATCACCAACGAACGGCGGGTTTGGTCCCCGGGGACCAATGACACCTCCCGAATTCCCCTCGTCCGGTCCAGGGGAAATAGGCCCTGAGAGGAACCGAGGGATGATTGCGCGAGGGGTGTCTCTTGTTACCGGAAGCGAGGGAAGGATTTCCAGTAGAGGAGGAACTCGCGTTTACTTAGTTTATTAAGTACCTGGGAGGAAAAATGGCCCCCAGGAGAGCCGGGGATAAGAAAAAATTCCCACAAGGAGGAACGAGAAGGGGAGGCGCCGAAGTCGAGGATGTTTTCAGGGGTGGCTCGACTCTCGAACTACCCTAACGAAGCAACTTCCGATTTTTCTTCTCCGATTTCGAGAGAAAAAAAAGAGAGAGAGGGAGACGGAAAGAAAAAATGGAGAATCCGTTGAAGCGTGATCTAATCGGTTCGAGGATGAATCCTGGAACTCTTGGAGGAACTCGACCCTGGGAGCCGCTCTCTCTCTCTGTTTCGAGGGTCCCCAGGCTAGGGGAAATTTTAATTACGAGGGGGAAACTCGTAAAGTGCTCGCCGGGGTCGAGAGACTCGTCGATAAAGCGGTTTAACGATCGGCCGACAAATATTTCCCGATCAAACAATTCAATAACGGCACCGGCGCGATGGCTGCGAATCCCGAGGGACTCGGTAGGCCTTGAATTTTTTTCCTCCTCCGGGTGGTAAATTCCGAGGCCCTCCGAGTTCCCGCCTCGCACTCGTGGGAGAATCGAAGAGGACAGGGTTAGGGAAACTTCGAGGAAGTTTCGGACACCCATCGAAGGTCCTCGAGTGGGAAGTTGGACCGATGCGTGAAGTTCCAGTTTCCGGAGGTCGGCCAGTTTCGGGGAGCTCTTCGACCGAAGTTCAGGGAGACCCTGGACGATTTTTTCCTCGAGTTACTCTGAAATTCAGAGGATCCTTTAAGGCTACCAAGGGTCAGAGGATTCGGAGATCCTGGGACCAGGATGGACCGTTCCATCCAAGTTGACGTTCTACGCGAATTCGAGCCCTCGGCGTCTCTAAAGCTCCACCTCAAGACCTTCCCCCCAGTTCTTAGGGATTTCTTCTCGGATATGAAATCCCATATACGGCAACCATCCGCCCCATTCGCTGCACATTTCAGCCCGATGATGCACTCGACCCTGACGATGCATCCTGCGTCTATCTGCATCCGATGCAGTTCCCGATCGAGCACCGTTCGAGGCCCCGCGAAATCCCGCTCGGGAAATTTTCCGGACGATTACGAGCGACTAAACTCGGCTCCATAATTTCGTCCGTCACTCCACGGCCGATTATCCGCCGATGGCGCAATTCGAGTCTCATCAGGCCCCATCAGACAATATCTGGACTTTATATCGAAACGCGGTGGCCCCATCATCCCAAGATTAAAATTTTCTTACACCCTCGTTTCATGCACTTTACGTGCTAACATGATGCCCCACACAGTTAGCTACTATCCAGGGGAGAATTAACAGAGAAGGCGGAAATTCCAAGACAAGCGACACTCGTGGAAAAATTCGCAGGTCGACTGCGCCAATTATGGCACCGGTGAGAGAGTCGTCGCGAGTCATCAATTCGCGGCCAAGGATGCGACGCATCGTGCACGACCCCGACGGAAGAAGAAAAAAAGAGAGAGAAGAAAAAAAAACACGACGAGCATCTGCCTCTGGGCATAAATTAGCGTCATCATCTGAAGAGCCGTGCAGTATCTTCGCACTTGCGTGTCCCACATCCCGGCCCAACCTGTTTGATTAACACGGATAATAACGCGGCGTCGCGTCGACGCGTACGATTAATTGCGCTCCCGCAAAGAGGACTTGGGAAAAGGAGCGAGAGCTCGAGGAAGTGCGGAAATTAGGGGCATTCGAGATCCGGAAAGAAGGAAGAAAAAAAGAAATAAAATACATAGACGATCGACGAAGAGAGAAAAAAAAAATATCCGAGCTCCCCATCGGGCGATCGGTCGCGTGGCGGAGATACTTTATGGCCGTTTGTCGCGGCTCTCGTAATTTACTGCAAAGTGGTTTTATGCAACCTCCGCGAGTTGGATCCCGCACACCAGGTCCATGTCCGGTGTCGCAAGGAGATACCGCGACGATGTAAACCCGCGGATGAGGTGGCAGAGGTGTGCCAGTTAATTCAGCAGTTTCCTCTTCCGCCCCTTCCGGGGAACACTTCTTCCCAGGCTCCGCCATCTTGGCGGCGTCCTCCCTTCCCGAGAGTTCCTCCATCCTCCGTCGGTCCTCCCTGACGTCCATTTCCCCGGTACACTTTTTCCTCCCCCCCATCCACGTCCTTTTTCCTCTCCCTATCCCTTCAATCTCGGTCAATCTCGCCTCGCGACCTCCACCTTACACCCCCCTCGCCGCCATTCTTCTCTCAGTCGACCTTCCTCGCCTCCCAGCAAGTGTAAACCATGAATTACAAATGTACAAACGGGACAGGGAAATTACCTCCTCCTCTCCCCCTTCCCGCAATGCGAAAGAATTTCCATTTTCCGAGGAAACGAGTCCACACGTTGAAGTCTCCAGAGGGATGAAGAGAGCCTTCTTGGTCCCCCCCGTTGCCCCCCTCCTTCGCCGTTTACCACCCTTCGTCACCATTTTTCTCCATCCTCCATCTTCCAGAATTTTTCGCGAGTCCTCCACCTTACCCCCAACCCTTTCTCCTGTGTCCATTTTCCCACCCCCGCGGGGCGATTTCCGCCGTCGTCGGGTTTCTTCTCCGGGGAATTACAGTCCGAACGTGACCGGGTCGCCATTAAACGGGTCTTTAAGCGTCGTTTTAACGGCCAGGGGTCCCGTATTTTACGTTCACCACGGCTGTATCGACGACCGCGTCATCGGCCGCATTCCTCGCATTTAAAGCGCCGTAATTCTCCGGGAGAAACGACGCCCCCCCGTCCGGAAACCATTTCCGCTTTTATTTATTCTACTCGTCTTTTTTTCTCTTTTTCTCCTCCCGCTCGCGGGGAATCGTTTTTGCGCCGTTTAACGGGATACGCGATACATCGAGGGAGCGTATCGCACCCCGGGCGAGAAATCGACGCGTCGTGACGTATCGGGTACGGAATTGTCGTTCTCCAATATGTCCGCTGCCGCGTTCTCCAATATGCGTTCTCCCATACGTCGGTTGATGGATTTTTCAATATGGACGCCTTTGAACTTTCGTTGTGGCCGCAAGCCTTCTCCAATGTGTCCACCTATGCATCTTCCAAAACGGCCGCCGTTGCATTTTCCAATATGGACGCCGGCGTTCTCCAATATGGCCGCCGCCGCCGCGTTCTCCAGAGTGGAGTATGACGCGTTGAAAGGGGCGAAAAGGTGGCAGGGTGACAAATCGGTCCATTAGCGGCTGCGGAATGGGATCGCCGGAGGAAAAATAAACTCCGATGGCCAGGGAAGGCGGAGGCTCTCGACTTTTCGAGAGTTAATGCCTCGCGAATGGCAAGCAGTAGTTCCGGGACGTGCCGCGCGGCGTCGCCGCCCTTCTTGGCACGTCGCGGAGAGGGACGTGACCGTAAAACCGGAACAACACGAGCGGAAAGCCTGATGAAGAGGAAAACCGGGCCGGAGGACCCGGGACCAAGCGTTTCTCCGGGGTTGCACCCGGGGCCGGGGCCATTATCGACAATGCTAAGTCACGTGACGGGTTTACGCGCACTTCCGGCCGGAAACTCTTCCGGCGAGGGAGGGCGCGGAGGATTTTTCGCGGTGATAAACCGAGTCGCGGGACGCGTCCCCTATTTTTTCCTGTTTCTTCTCTCGACGAGCCAGAAAGTCGCGCCGTTCTGTGGTACCAAAATGGCGGTAGATCTTCATCCACTCGCTGATATTCTTCCATTCGGGACGCCCTTCGAGAGAGGGGTTGATTATAATCCGGCACCCAGGCCTGGGATGCGTAGATTATTTCAAGAAGCCGGAAATTAATACTTCTTCCGCGGTACCAAGATGGCGGCGGACCTTCCTCTACTCGCCGATACTCTCATTCGCGAGAGGGGCTGATTGTAAAGCGAGGACCCGGGGGTGTATTCGGTTACCCCCGACACGTGGGTCCGAAATCCAATCCGGGGTCGAAATCCCCCGGGGGAAAAGGCTCCAGACTCCGCGGTAAGCGACGCGCTCGAGTTTCACGCGGGAGAAACGCCTTTTCCATCGACGGATTTATCGGCCCTCGAGAGAGAGAGTAGCCTCGAGTGGAGCGGACCGATGGAAAGTAATCCCTGGCTTACGCTTTACGATTACCCTCCGCGGCCCGTTTAAAGCGTTACAACACCCCCTGCCCTCGAGTCCACCTCGAATTGAACGGTGCCCTCGTTAAGGTCGGCGCGGAATCGCGATATGCCACGAGGCGGGCCGTTAAGGCCGCCTCGAAGGCTCGCGAAACGGTCGAAAACGAAACGGCCGGCTTGCGAAGCACAGCCAGAGAGTCAGAGAGAGAGAGATACGGAGGCCTCGTGCCAAGTTTTAATGGGCGCACCGTTGCAACGAGTTCAACCCCCCGGGGGGTTGCGATCCGCCCCCCGTATCGTGACCTTATCACCGGCCGCGCCTCGAGCTCGCGGAACCGCGCGAATCCATCTTTTCCGCCGAAGCGACCTCGCAAAGTATTCGAGAAATTCCCCCCAAAAAAGAAAATTCGAAAAATTCCAGAGGTTCGAGAAATTCACAAAAAAAAAGAAAATTCGAAAAATTCCAGAGGTTCGAGAAATTCACAAAAAAAAAATGCGAAAAATTTCAGAGATTCGAGGAATTCACAAAGAATAAAAATTCGAAAAATTCCAGAGATTTGAGAAATTCACAAAAAATTCCAGAGATTCAAGAAATTCACAAAAAAAGTACCGAGAGATCTTCGAAACTCATGATGGAACCTTGAAGACCCCACGCCGAGGGATGACCCACCTTGTCCGAGATCTCGTGGGGTCGAGACCTCATGAAGAGCCACCCTGAAGCCTCCTCGCAGCGTCCAAGACGAGGCAACGAATGGCCGGCCTTAACGTACCTGCGAGCAGCCTTCGGAGCACTCTCCCGGCTTCGAGATTCGATATTTCAATATAAGAGGCGCTCCCCCGTCGGCTGGTTTAGCGGGGCATCCATTATTACGCGAACGGGAGAAACAACCCCGTGATCGAATTCGAGGGGTGATTTTTCACTCGACTGCCTTAAACACGAGTCGGAGAAGAGAGATCGCCCGGCCACGTACCTCTCCATTTTCCCAGGCTCCCAGGGCGATAACCAAGGCTTGGAATCTTGGATGATTTTTTCCCAAGTCCGATCGGAAATATCGCGGCCGTGCGGAATATCCCACGACCTGCGGAATATTCTACGACCTGCGGCCCTAGTAAAAAAGAAACCTCGAAATAACCAGCATTTGGGTTCTGAAGGTTTTTCATCTTTCAGATTCGGTCGCAAAGGTCGCGACGGATATGCGGAATATTCAACGACCTGCGGAATATTCTACGAGCTGCGGAATCCCTGAAAATGAAGCGGGACGAGGGCGGCCCTCGAAATAATCGACAGTTGGATCTTGGATTTTGGAGTACTGTTTTTTTTCTCTTTTTTTTCTTCTTCTTTTAAGCCCGGTAGAAAAAATCGCCACGGATATGCGGAATATTCTACGACCTGCGGGATATTCTCGGACCCGCGGTATCTGATAAGTGAGCGGGACCAGGGTGATCCTCGAAATCCGACCCTCGAATCGGGACAAATCCGGATAAATCGGCAAGCGGGACCAAAATGGCGGCCAACGCTCGCGAAACGGCGGGAAACGTAATCATAATAAAGCGGAATTAACGCCGGCGTATAATTACGGGCCGTATAACGTGCTGTACGGCCAACAGATATGCGGCCGCGTAAAATACCTTCGCATGTTCCCCGGCGACTTTTGCATGTAATTAGACCGAGGGCACGCTGGCTTTGAAGCCGAAGTCCTCGAGGGAGCCCGAAGGCGTCCCAGGAGAGTAGAGGAATTAAAGGGACGAGGTCCTGACCTTACCCAAAGCTCCTGAATGTTCTCGCATCCCAAAAAACTCGCCCAGAAATGAATTTGAAAAAATTAAAAGCCCACTCACCTCGGTCTGGAGCTCCATGACGACCGAGTTGGGGGTTTGGTCCGGAGGCCGAAAGTCCAAAATTCGGTTCCCTGGAACAAAGGCGCACGTTACAATGGGGATTCTGCGTGTTTATTAGATTTTTCTCCTCCGACTTAACAGTGGAAACGGGAATAAATATGAAAAAAAAAAGAAAGGAAAAACCTAGGAAACCGAGTTTGAAGTTGAATTTCGACCGCGCAAATGGGATTTCTCGAGGCAGGGTTCTTCGCTTCAACTTGATGAGTACAAGGCAAGGCAAGGTGAGGGACAGGGGCACCTCCTCCCGCTCGGGGCTTTCTTTTATATGCTATTTACGAGAGGAAGCCCATTACAATCGAGTAGATGAGCGCGAAAACGACGCAGAGCCCATAACGCCCTTTTTTTATCCCCGTCCACTCAGTTACGGTGCGCCATTGCGAATCCATTTGGCTTGGCTTCCGTGTTCGGAAGCGAGACCCGTCTGGGGCCAGCCTTTCCCGGAGATTCCATAAAACCTGCCGGATCGAGGCCTTCGAAGCTCCTCCAAGGATCCCTATCCTTGGAGAGAACGAACTCCCGAACGTCGCCTGCCCTCCTTTACCGCGACGTACCCCGCCGCCCGTTTTTCGCATTTTCCGAGAGAACTCGAGCTCGCGTAGAAAAACACCCCGGACGAAACTTCTCCCCCATAGAATTCTCTACACTTCCCTCAGGAAGGACTTTTCTCCAGCGGTGACGGTTCCCCCGTAAATCGGGGTCGATCCTCGCGCGGAGTCCGTCCTCCAGCCTGGGGGAGCTTCCTCCAAGATTTCAAATTCCCGCGTCCTTGATTCCATGTCCGGAGGTCCTGGGGGATGAGCGGGGATTTCGGAAAAACCTCCGACACTTCCGGCACACCGTTCAGAAATTTGCGGTCGGCCTCATTCGGTCTGGCGCCTCGCCAATCCTTCCTGGCGAATCGACCGCGAACGACCACGAGCAACCGCAACTTTCCGATAGGGACGTCCAGGGACAGGGGGACCTGGTTTCGACCGCAGCAGGGGAACGAAATCAGGTGCCGGTGTTACCTGGTGCAGGTAGGCCTTGTCCCCATGGCCGATAAATGGCGCTAAAGGGCGACAAGTCGAGTCCCTCGGGACTCCCGATTTCGCCGCGCCTTCCCCTTACTCCCAATTCTTGGCACCTGGCCACGCTTCCTGAGCCCGGCTAGGGAACTCTTGCAAAAATAAATTCCCCGCCTCCAGAGCTTGTTCCCGACGCGTGGGACACCGTCTCTCTGACGGGAACACGTGTTGCTTGAGTATACACACCCTGAGATAGGAGGAACCGACGAAAGATCGCGGCCTCGGAGACTGGAGCTCCCTTTGATCAGCTGTTTCTGTCTGGTCGACTCCGTCTGTCTCGACCTGGCCTAAGATACCCAGAGACCGACGACCGGGACGAATCTGGCTAGATACATGGTCTCCGTCATCTTTAAATCTTTTTATTTGCTCATTCATCGAGGGAGGAGAAAATCACTTTACAAGCAATCTAACCTAGAAAATCCCCGAGGTTCAATTTTTCGCGCCAGACCCAATTTGGAGGCCCCTTTTAATGGCGATATTATGAAATCTATGGCCCTCTACGGAGTCCCAGAGGAGTAGATCCGTAAAGCTGATAAGATTTTTCAAATCTACCACCCTAAACTTGGGGGACGTATTTTATCGTTTTTTGATATCTGTCTGCTGACTGCTTGAGATTCCGTCACGCGCATTCGAGGATACAGTAAGGACAGAATGAAGACTAGGAAAATTTCCGTCCCATTCTGTTACCTAACTTTGAGGTCAACTCGACTGGTTTGCGCTTTGGAAGTGGAAATTCGTGTTCCGATCATGGCCGATCATCCAGGACCAGAGAGGGACCTTCGACGGCGCCGGCGAAGAGTTCACGAGGAAATTATGTAAGCCGGAGTCGCAATTAATGGGTGCCCGTCGATAGTCGGGAGTGATTAACGAGGGCCAGAATAGAGACGAGAATGGGGATTGCCTCTCTTTCCCCGGCAGATTCGGGGGACTCCCAGGAAGAAAAGCCTCGCCGTGGAGTCCGTCAAAGTCGGGAAGGGGCTGGGAATAAAAGGGGAAGAATATCAGGAGGCCCGAAAATGCACTTCCCGAAGATAAACGACGCACAGCATCCGGCGACCCCCAGATGCAGTTAGTCAATGCTCCGGAGATGGAAATAACGTCGACGGATGCTGGAGGAGTGCCAACCCCATCGATCCCATCAGCGACCCAAACGAAATCCCATCAGCGATCCAAACGAAATCTTATAAGCGATCCAAACGAAATCTTAACAGCGATCCAAACGAAATCTTATAAGCGATCCAAACGAAATCTTATCAGCGATCCAAACGAAATCTTAACAGCGATCCAAACGAAATCTTATAAGCGATCCAAACGAAATCTTATCAGCGATCCAAACGAAATCTTATCAGCGAACCAAACGAAATCCCATCAGCGATCCAAACGAAATCTTATCAGCGAACCAAACGAAATCCCATCAGCGATCCAAACGAAATCTTATCAGCGATCCAAACGAAATCTTATCAGCGATCAAAACGAAATCTTATCAGCGATCAAAACGAAATCTTATCACCGAACCAAACGAAATCTCATCAAGCAAGATCCCATATAACCAACGCTCCGTCGATTGAAAACGTCCAAAAAGCCCCTCTACCACCCAAAGAAACGCACATTCGAGATTTAATGGCGCAATCTCTTGTACTTCGAGGGATTCTCAGGGAAATAATCACCGAGACGAGTCTGGAATACGATCCGGCCAAGATCGTGGTTTCCTCCCCGAAGAGTTGATTGCCAGCCTCGCCGAGCCCAAAGAGCGCTAAAAGCCCGCATTTGTAACACTTAGGACCTAACCTCAATCTCCACCCCCTAATTAAATCCCCGAAAAAAAATCCGTCGAATCGCTGATCAATAATATTCAAGAGAAATGGGAAGAACTGTTCAAGGATACCCCGATTTCCCTGATTTTTCTCCCCACCTCCCTCCAAAGGGAGCGGAAATTTCTTTCGGGGGTAAATAAACATCGGTTGTCTCTTTAAGTCCGTTCCTCACCTCAGGACTCGTCTTTGTGCAAATGACATCTGCACGGACGAATGTCCACTCCGCTGCGTCCGTCTCTCTCGCGCCTGTGGTTGACACGTTATCGGCGCGAGCACGCGTATACGTTGACATGTACATACGTACACGGGTGTACGTAAATGTACAGGCGCGCCGGTACATAACGGCCTACCTACACGCAACGGCCTCGAACGATACGAAGATGAAAGGCGGGTGCCGATTACCATTACCATCACCGGGTCATCATTGGATCGGCCTTGTGTCATTAGCGACCAGTCCAGGGACCCGTGCCCGAGTCGAGAAATCCACATCGAGTCCCTCTTCTACTAGATTAGGGCCACCGAGTCATTTATCGGGCGATTTCCCGAGGATATCGATGATTTTTCCCGATTTTCAAGAGTAAACCAGCGAAGCGGCGTCTCCACTGACATTCTAAAAATGGCCGCCGCGCGGAGGCACTATCGAGCGCCATTTTGCGTCCCAAAGGTCCTTCCTTCGGGAGTAAAGGTAAAGGTCAGTTCCCGGGGACTAGTTTTGTCACGGATATCCACCGGGGGCGTCCACAGGAGTCCATCAAATCCGCCTTTAACGCCGCGTTCGCACTTCGCGGCCGGCGATTTGCTTTACGACTTGGCGCGCGCTTTATTGCCGGCCCGGTAGGTGAGGGATTCCTCTTGGGCGAAAAAAAGATCCACCGAAAGCTAGGGACCTTCGAAGAAGGTGCATCCAGTCCGGGGAAGCTGCAAGATCTATCCCGCGGGTCGAAAAAACCTTTCAAATCCGGGGAAAATCCGTCGAAATCTGCGATCGATCTCGACACGCCGGGAACCAAGATGGCGACCGACGCCGAGCGGCAGCGCGAAGAAGTCGGCGGTAAAAGGGAGGTATCGGATGAAACAGGAAGGGAGGCGAAACCGAGAGAAAGGGGCCGGGGAGAGGGAAGAAAGTAATTACTCGAGCTTCACTTTCGAGTCTCACGCAGGAATCGATTAGTCCCAGGATTACGTACGGACCGCAGGACCCGTAATGTCCGCCGCCATTTAATTAGCCCCGGCCTTCTGGTCCGAGTTCCTCTGCCGTCCGCCCACACCCACGCCGTGTCCACTATTCCGACATACACACCCCCGTAAATTCGTAAATATGCAAATGAAAGATCTAATTCCGTGTCCGAAAAATGGAACGCCCCGGATAACGGGGGGTTGATACCTGGCGATGCCCAGTTAAACCAGGAATTAATCTCCGGTTATTTCGGACACACCTGTTGCTCAGCCCGACCGCATCCTCCCTCTTCCGGTCCTTTTTCCCGGTCCTTTTCCCGGTTCCTCGGGGCTCGGCCTGTTTTCAAGTTCGCGATGCACGGTATTTCCCGGGAAAAATTCGATATTTCCCCATAAACCACCCCTTGATACAGGAAAAACCGCGTGAGCGCCTCCGCACACACCTGTACGTACCCGAGTACCCTCGTACGTGTACAAAATCAGAGTATGCCCAGTAAACTCCACACTTATTTCTTCCTATCCACTTCCCTGCCCCCCCAACCTTTCCCGACCTCCCCTTAGTCGAAAAAAAAACCACCACCACCATAAAAAAAAATGAGACCCAACGAGCCCGAATTTCAATCCCGTCGAAGGGGTAGGCAGAAGATCGCGCGTATCTGTATCTATCTGAGCATCCTTACACATACACACTAAAGGACCAGGATGCCTTCTTCAAGTTCCTTCGTTCTTCCCACCACCAGGATAAAAAAGGAAAGCATTCACGTCCACCACTGTAGAAAAAGCACAGTTTACCGAGCAAACTCTCCACTTCTTTCTTTCTCTCCCTCCCCCCAGCCACCCCATTCGACCTCACCTTCGACCCCGAAGAAGACCCCGACGAGCCCAGGTTTCGACCTCTCCCAGGGTGTAGCCAGGATCGCGTGCCGCCAATATCTAAGGGGAGGATTTCTCCCCCCAGATATTGCCCTGATAAGCCCCGATAAGCGGGCATTAGGCGTCGGGGGTGAGACGCGGTTTAGCGCCTCCAGGACTCCCCGATTCGTTCTTTTATTTTTACACCCCTCCATCCCTTTCCGAGGAATCTCACGAAATCGGCCCTAACGAGGGCCGTTTAAGGGGTTGCGATTTCTCCCCCATATTCCTCATCACCCGACTCGGCAACGTGTATGCTTAAGAGGAGGGAAATGCCCTGAAAAATCTCGGGAAAGCCGCGAGCCTCCAATCGATACGCGTAATCCGATCGCGGGGGTGTACAGTAGAGGAAAGNTATTTGGCAACAAGTTCGCCCTCAATGGTGGTCCCCGAGCCAGCTGAATAAGTACCGGGACCGTGCATTACATATCCAAGTATACATGTAAACGCATACACGTGCATATATCTATCCAGGGTGTATACACATTAAAAAAATATAAACATACACGTGAGCGCCTCCATTATTTTCTGTTTTCACGGCAAACACCCCCCTCCGAATGGTCCGCGAAACTCTCCCACGGTTTCGCCCCCACCCCCGGAGATCGATTCGATGTTTTTTTCTTTTTTTTTTTCCGCGGGATTAATTAATTCAAAAAAACATAAAAAATCATGGAAGGTAATACAGGGGATTATTACTCCCTTTCGTGTCGAAAATCGTCGAACGAAGCCGAGGAGCCCACCTGGTGGTTGTTCCCGGGGGATTTACAGGAGAGCCCGCCAGAGGGGTGGGCGTAGATTGGGTGGTCATAGGTTTTGATAACCCTGTCGAATATTGCGGTATACGGCGGGGCATCGCGGAATATGGCCGGCCCCGCTTAAGGGCGAGTTTCGCGCCCCTCGGAACGAGAGGGATGCGAAAACGGAACCCGGGAATCGAAACCGATTCACGCCGTGGCAATTTCCGGAAACCCCACGACCACCCCCGCGCCCTCCACCGCCCGGCGAGAAATTAAAAAGAAGGGAAAGAAATGCAATGACCCAGGAAAATTCTAAAATTAAATAGGAAAAAAAAGCAACAAAAAAAAACAAAAAAAATAGGAAAATGGCGGAAAACCAAGGACAGGGTGAATCCCGGGGAATGAAGGAGTCCCGATACTTTCCGGTTTATTTCATTGCGACGGGGTGGATCACTTTTAAGGGTGATTTAACAGCGCTGGCTTCGCGTCGACGATCCGGAAAATCGATCGAAATACCGGAGAGGGAAGAAATTAAAAGCGGGGAAAAAAGAAAATCTGGCCAAGAGTCCTGGGAAACGAAGGAGCCCCGACGTCTTCGGATGAATTTGGAAAATCGAGGACGCGAGGGGGGGGGGGTTAAATCACTTCCAGGGCGATTTAACAGGGTGGCATTGACTTTGCATCGACGTCGCCCGATTTCGGTGAATCTGGCCGCCCACCATCGTCCCCCCCGTTCCTCTCGACTTTCGACAATGGGGCTTTAATTAAAATCTTTCCGAACCGCTGACTCGCGTTATTCTTCCGGCAGAACTTCCGGAAGTCCCCCCGACCTACTAGGAAAGTCAGGAAAAATTACATCGACTTCAGCCCCCAATTCGAGTGTACGAATTAACGAAGATTCTGCGTCAAATTTCCCGACGACCAGCCTCTGCGCCGATTTCGGGGCGATTAAATCGACGTCGATAAAACCGAGAGAGACCCCCCCCCCCCCCCCGACCAGGGTAGAAGACGCTTTGAGAATCCGCCGACGGGAATTTCATTCGGGATATTAATCCGATTAAGCCTTTCCAAGGGGATGCCCCCGGCCCCGATTCCCCGCTAATGAGAATTTCATATCGAATTAAAATTCCCCCGGCGTTAATTTCCTCCCGGTTTTTCCGCACTCCTCGGGGATAAGATAACCGGAGACCTCCGGAGTCAGGCTCCTTTTCGAAATGTCCCAAGGTGAAAAAGTTCAGGGGCTGAACGGGGTGAGAAACCTCGACCTCTACCTCTAAGGATCTTCCCTGGAAGGAAAACAAGCGAGGTATAAAAGGAATCGAGGTCCGAACGGACCTCCCTTACTTGTTCCTTTTCTCTTTTAATTGACATTTCATCCGATTTGAATAATCCGACAGGGTAAAAAGAAAAGAAAAGAAAAGGAATTGAGACACGTACACTCGTAGCAACCCCGAAGGCGTCTCATCTCGCACTTTATTCCAGACCTGCGAGGAGATTCAATGGGCACGTCGTGAATGATACGTGCCTAACTTCGCTCCTATGAATTTCCGTCGGAGCCGCTCCGGGGGAAAGCGTGCCCTGCCATTGGCTTAACGGCGACGCGAGATGGAGATCGATAGGCGGCAACGACTGCCCGCGTTTTCTTTGGACGTTAATCGAAAGATAACGCCCCGTTAAGAAAGAAAATCGGGCATGTCAAGACCAATGAGAACGAAATAGCGAGGGTTCGCCCCCTTTTGTTTAAAGATAATGGACACCGCGCCATGACTTATCGTGACTTTAGCGAGCTCGTTTAACGGCGAGCATTTCATCCCGCGGAGCTTCTTTAATTCGCCTCGGCAAACATACATCTGGCTGTAATGCGATGAATAATATGCCGGAGATACGTTCGACATGTCCCGACATAAAGGCAGAAACGACAAACACTGATCGCGTATATCCCGCCGAAATGTGATAACGCGCGGATGGTCGCCGTTAATTCCGACTCCGAATCGCGTTATCGTTCGAAAAGTCGTTTCGCAAAATCGGGGAGCACCGGGGAAATTCTGAGATACGTAGATATATCCACAAGAGCTCGGATGGATACATCGAGGGTGGATCGCAAGGATCTCGTTAATCCGAGCCGTTTAACGGCGGTCTAGAATTTTCCAATCGTTTTACGAGCGGCGGGACGTTAAACCGCGAAACCTCGAGAGCAAATCGAATTGTCCTTTCTAAATCGTCATACGTGCTTCGTTTCGCAAAATCGAGACGACTTTCTGTCAAAAGTATCCTCAAGCTCCCGGAGACATGTTGGGAGAGGGCCTCGTTATTCCGAGCCGTTTAACGGGGGCCTGGAATTTTGCAATCGTTTTACGAGCGGTGAAACGTTAAACGCAAACCGCCACCCCCTCTGGGAGTAAATTCACCCCCCGGTATTTCCGCTAAATTTTAAATCCACCCCGGGGTAACGGCGCCCGTTAATTCGTTACTCGTGAAAATTCTCGCGGAAACGGGGGAATAATTACTCCCCAGTCATTCGGAGCTTTGACATTACCATTTGGCCTTCGGGGGGGGAGGAAGGATTAAACGGCCGCGATCCCGTGCAGATTAAACAAAGACAAGTTGGGCCGTTTCGGTATGATTTAACGATTCCGTTAATGGATTCGCGAGGGGTCGGACTGGGCGCACGTCGAATATTAAACGGGGAACTTCCGAACGGGGTAAATCCGCCGTTAATGCCTCCATTGCTCTTCGAATCCGCCTCCGAACGATCGTCGGAAGTGCAATTGCGATTAATCGAGGTATTCCCCATCGCAACTGTAATTAATTCCGCATAAAATCTCTAGAAAGATCCCCAAAAGGAAAATAAAGCGAAAGCAAAAGCTCGATAATTCAAGGATAAAGAGTAAGCAACGTAACGACCTCTTCGACCTATCCCGGCGGTCGCGACGCGCGCCCCCTCGTCGTTGGAAATAATTTTTTTCCCACGTGTAGGCGCCCTCAAAAAATTCCCCAAAAATTATGGAAAACTCCCCAAGGATGGCTCGTTGTCGTGTAATTTTTGCAAAACCACCGGCGCGACGTGAGCCAACGAAATCCGGTACCAAAGTAGGCGGCCAAACCGAGCGCGCTTCCGGCGCGAAGGCCTCGTGGCTTATCTTCCCGTAGGTTCGCCGGCCATAATTAATTACGGCATACTAATCGACAACACGAGAGTCCCCGACACGCGAACTCGGGGCTTCGGGGGGTTAGGTACCCCCGCCAGAAAAACAAAAGGAAAAGAATTAAAAGCAAAATAAACGAAACCGCAAAGTTCAAGCTCCCCGTGAACTCGGAAAAATCCACACCAGTCGAGCCAGGATCGAATCCCTCCCGTTCGCTCTTTTCTTTTTTTTTTTTAACTTTCCCCTTCCAGAGTCTTCATTTACCCGTTCAAGATCACATCTCCGAGATGCGCGGGTAAAAACCGACAGAAAAGATTACAATCTACGTACATGATAAATGTCCACGGCGCAAAAACGACTCCAGGAGTCTAAGGTCCGCTCGGGCAAGGTTAAAATACTTAGTCCGAGGGCCGGAAGTTGTCGTAGCGGCCAACAAGTGTAAGTACGTCAAAAGACAATGGCTCGAAAACATGACCCAGCCATTCATGTCCCCATGTCAGTCCCGAGCACCTATTTAACACGTGCGCCATCCGCCTTTTAACACAACATCCACATGACAAAGATCTAAGATAATTGTTAAGTTCACCTGCAAAAGTGCCGCCCTAGGCTTTCCTCCTCGAGGCGACGCTCTCACTCGGTGACGTTCTCATGCTCTCTCTGTAGAGAAAAAGAAAAAAAATAAGGAAGAAAAAAAAGAACAGTCTTCCCCCACTTCGAGTTGAAAAATAATTTCCTCCCCTCTTCTTTTATTATCTGTAATGATCTTAGGGCGCACCAGAGGTCCGAGTAGGGGTCAGACGGGTGCGTAAAACGTGGCGGCGCGCGTGGAGATAGGCAACGTGTGCGTATACGTGCGACGGGGATCCGGGGGAGTCCAGGGAGCTCGCGTGCGGCTGAGCGCGCGGCAAAGACTGAGGGCTGCTCGGCCGCTGCAAAGTGCGAAGCCGCGCGGCCGTCCGCGCGGTTGCCGACTCGCGGGGGAGCCACGGGGCGCAAGCTCGCGGCGCGGCCCGCGAATGGCAACGCCGCCGCCATCGAGTCGCCACCGAAGGATCGAGTGTTCGGGTATATATCGTCCAATTGCGACAGATCCCGATGTAAAATCCCCTTTTGGCGCACACCACAGATATGTAAAACGAAGATCCATGCCGGCAAAATCCCAAGAGCCCGCAAGCTCCCCGAAAAGCCATTGATGACGGACAACGTGTTGATTGGCATCCGGCGGAGGGAGAGAGAGCTCTTAACATGAGTTAGCACTCGAGTTTGGAATCAAGTTCGACGGCGAGCGCAGTTTCTATAAATATGCCCGACGTTTCGCGTCGAAACTGTCCCGTACGTGTCCGGCACGACACGTTGGAAAATCCGTTCCAAGAACCGGCCGCTCTAACGAGCGGTTCCATTTCGGGATTCCAGCCTGTGTGGTCTGGGGACACTTACCGATAGTCATTGCGAAACGGTTCCATTTGGGCGTGCGATCCACTCTGGAAGAATGTGGAACTCCGCGGATGTAGGCGCGAGTTCCACTCTCCTCGTTAGCCCTCTCCCGTTGAGCAACTCGCAAGCAGGGGGACGCGCCTGGAAATCGGGCCGAAGAACGGATAAGGAAAACTTCTCCCTCCCCGAGGGAATTCCACGTGAAATCGCGCGTACAGCGGAAGGGAAAGAAACGAGAGGCGTCGAGAGTCCCGAGGGAGCGGACGTGGGGCGCATACGCCGCGGAAAGAGCTGCGCCCTCAACGAGGCGACGCGTCCACTTCTTCGCCGCCTCATTGTCCCCCAGGACTCTAGAAATCACGTCGAGGGGAGGAATTAATCCCATTGGCCATTTCCCGCGGTAAAGAACGCCAGTGAAAACCGTGAAACCCGAGTTAAAAACGAAAATTCGGGATCTAGGACTGTGGAAAGCGGACTTCGCGTCGTCTCGGAGAAATCCAAGATGGCGGAGCTGGCGCGTCCCCTTCGATACTCGCGCGGCGCTCGGTAATTCCTCGAGATCGTCGTTACGATCGACGTTAAGGCCTCGTATCGTTAACACGAACACTCGAGACATTACAAACTTAACAATCGAGGCGTGCCAGTAATGGCGGGGCGATTAATACTCTGCCTAGAAGGCTTCGCCCGGGCAATCGGGAACGCGGGATCGATGCTCCTTCGGGCTTGGCCGAGCGAAAAGTAGCTAAGCTCCTTTTTTCCGCCGACCTAACCTCATCCACGACTCGCTTTTCGATTATCCCCCTCGCGGATTTAACGGAGCCCGTAAGAAGGGAAGTGCGGCGCAAAAGTAGAGCCATGCCTAGAAAGTTTCCCCCTTAAAATGAAATCGAGAAGCGGTGTCAAAAATTCCCGGGTTCCCTGGAAACCCCATGGATTCGTCGACTCGATTCGGATAGAAAGGCCTAAAAAGTTCCCCCCTTAAAATAAAATCGAAAAGCGGTGTAAAAAATTCCCGAATTACCCGGCAACCCTACGTAAGCATCGACTCGATCCGGCGAGGAAAGCCTAAAAAGTTCCCCCTTAAAATGAAATCGAATAGCGGTGTAAAAAATTCCCGAATTACCCGGGAACCCCTTGGAAGCATCGACGAGATTGGGAGAGAAAAGCCCAAAAAGCTCCCCCTTAAAATAACATAGAAAAGCGGTGTAAAAAATTCCCGAATTACCCAGGAACCCCACGGAAGCATCGACTCGACTCGGCGAGAAAAGCCTAAAAAGCTCCCCCTGAAAATAAAATCGAAAAGCGGTGTAAAATGTACCCGAATTACCCGGGAACCCCACGGAAGCATCTGCTAGATTCGGCGAGAAAAGCCCAAAAAGCTCCCCCTTAAAATGACATTTTAAAGCGGTGTAAAGATTACCCGGGAACCCCGCAGATGCATCGGTTCGATTCGGAGGAAACAAGCCTAAAAAATCCCCCCCATGAAGTAAATTCGGAAAAGGGTGTAAAAAGTGGGCGGGCTTCCCCAGGAACCCCGCAGATGCACCGACACGAGGCTGCGGGGAAAACGGCTCGTTTTTCACCGGGACCTCATCTCGGAAAGAGACGAGGGCCTCCGACCAATTTCTTCCTCCTTTTTCTCCTCTCCCTCTCTCCACCTCGGCGGGATATATTTATTTCGAGACTTCCGTCCGGCCCTCCCCGGCGAACGGGACGAGGAAATAATAAAACTCATCCAATTAGATCGAGGGTGACCCTCGACCTCTTCGGGGTCGGCCATGTCGCGAGGTCTCCCGTCTTTCGTAAGCGAGAGGGAATCCCCCGTTTCCCCATCCGGAGCCTTCGATAAATTTTATGGACGAGCGGGAATTTCGGCGCGAGAAAGACAAACGTCCCGGGATATATTATGTTTCCGGGAGACGAACGGCCGAATTCGGTCCTGCTGGACCCCCCGTGAAACTTACGCTTCCGCTCGCGTCCCGTCCTCGAGGAGAACCTTCCCTAGCTTATTAAATTTCTTTCGCTCCAGTTTCAACAACTCTCCACAGGGGGGCTCCGATAAAGGAAATATTTGGAAGGGATTATCGGGGGAAAATGTGGAGAATATTGTGTAAATAAAAACCCCGACCCCGCTTGGGGGGGGTCCCTTCCGATATGTCCAAACATAAAGAGACACGTTTCAGGGGGGGCGAAAATGTCTTTACAGGTGCGAATTTCGCGCGAATTATCGAAACCTAGCGGTTCCTTCTGACATGGCCGACTTAGTTCATATTTTAATAAAATCCCTCGATAATTATATCGAGCATTACATTTCAAACAGTCCCCTTCGCTTCTATCTTCCAAGGGTCTGCACTTCTTCTTTATCGACGCGTTAATGGAGAGATTAATGGGGCGCCATCTCGGAACAAAGTCGGTGAAACTATTCGTCAATGCTTCCTTATCCGGTTTAAAATAATCTTACCAACCGACGGAATTACTTTACCAACGGGAATAAATTTAGTTTGCAAAACTACACCTAACGTCGCTACCCATAAGGCGCCAAAATTCAAAATTGAAATCTAACCGACGCTATCCTTCGCAAAGAAGTTACAAGGGGGTTATTCATTTTACATGGTCGATTTAATCGAACGACGTAATCAAAGTGGACAGCTTAAAACGCACATTCACCACGTTATTATTAAACCGTCGTACAAACGTTACTCCATAACAAAGAATAGATTTCCTTAAATAATAACACGAATAGGATCGGCGTCGTGCCAGACGAAGCGCCGATCTGCAAAGAATGCTTCAAGAGAATGTATCGTTCCTGTAAAATAACGTATCAAAAGGAGGAGAGGGCGGGTCGCTAAAAAAAAAAAAAAAAAGAGAAAGATCGTGCTCGTGCTTTCTCATAGAAAATTTGAATCTCCGCATTAAAAAGGCGTAAAATCATGCACCGAACCGATGAGAAACCACTTTAGACATTCCTCACTTCACGACTAGCAAGGTCCACCAACCGAAGAAACCCATAAATTTTTACCTCCAAATATTCATGTAATAACAAATAATAAATACCTATAAACCCGCTCGCCCTGACTAATTAATTAATTCCTCTGAATTAATTCCTCGCGTTGTACCAACCAAAAACGAGATGAATAACGCGATTGTTATTGTGCGTAACGGATGTCTCCTCCCGAGGTAGTACGGTATGAAAATGTACCCAAGGAAGCCTAGTATTTTGGAAAAGCTACTCGAAACCGTCACCTAAGCCGTCCTAAGATCGCATCTAAATCTTGGAAGAGGTCCTTCCAACTCCCTTTCCGCGGTTTCCGAGCTACACGACATTATGCAACCTAATTATTTACAAAAAAGAACAAGTGGATCGGTCTAAAAGGAAAGGAAAAAAAAAATAAAGGATACACCAAATCATTGCAGGTCAACCGGACAAGTTTGTACGGGACGATCGTTGAGGGATCCGAATTTGATCGGTCTCGATAATGCTCGACTATCCGAAGTGGACCTTGTAAGACGCCGTCATTTGCTCGAGGAAGATGAAAGTCAGCACCGTATGAGGCCCCAGACGAGCATAGTACGGGAAGAACCCTTTCCACAGCGCAAAGAGTCCCTCGTACCTGACGACTTTCGTCAAGACGTCTATCGCGCCCTTGAATTCTGGCTTGCCGTCTATTGTCTTCATGTTCTGTATTCTGTAAAACCCCAGGTTTCTTCATGGACCATCCGTCGAGGCCAACACTCTCAACGGAACGACCCGTTGAAAGGTCGCTTAACGAAGACAATTCCCTAAAAAGTAAATTATATAAACAAACTGTTTCTCTTTACCTAGTTTTCGCGATGTCCACTGGCATCGACGCCGCGGTGGTGACAAGTCCAGAAATCATGGAGCTGGAGAAGTGGAGAGTTATGTTCTCCTCGAAGTAACCTGCAAAAGTTGTCGAAGAAGAGCTGTGATTCTCCCAAGCAATTATTTCAATACTATTATTAATACTTTGTATGAATTAAGTGCTAACCGGTGTCTAGGAGAGCCTGCTTAGCTTGGGAGTACGAAGCAAGTTGGGCAGCGTTGACCACCATAGCCCTCCCCATTGTCGGAATGGCTCCTCTCCACAAAGTGAAGACTCCTTCTTCCCTCGTTATTCGCAGCAGGGCGTCGACGACATTCTTGTAATTCCGTCTCTCCGCTGAAATAGAAATCCTCAGTGGTGTGCATTGCAGCAGAGCTATGTCACTTGAAAGAATCACTTACCGATGGGCAGCCTTCCGTCTGCTGTCATCCTTATCAGTGCCACCTCTGCAGGGGTACCCACAAAAGCTCCGACACATCCTGCCACCATGCCCAGGGCAGCTTTCGTTATAAAATTTGGCTGGCTATCCTTCCTGCGATGCAAATTAACTCTGTATACATCATTCAGGAAGTGAAAGAGCTATTTTGCTCCTGTCCTAATTTTAACTCTTACTCACGAGGCGATCTCGAAAAGCCACGTGTAGATCCCCAATCGGGTGGTTGTATAGGTAGCTTGACGTAGGAGACCAGCTGATAGGCCTGAATAAATCGCTAGGACTCCTTCGTTCTTCAAGATGGACGAGATGACGGTCATGGTGGAAGTCTTTGTCCCACTCAGCTGCATTCGATTCTTTATCAGATCGAGAGGCTGGACGAAGCAAGTGGCCGCCATTCTATTAGCAACAAACAATTACCTGAATGTAGTGCATCGATAGTGAGAAAATCGACGTAATAGTGTAAAGAGAGCCAAATAATTGTAATTTACAAGGTTAATGAGGTGACGAGCTCTTGTGTGGTATAATTCATCCATGGAACTGAATACTCAGGAAATGCATATCTGTCTAAATTATGACGCAGGTTTTACTGAGAGCAATTTGCGTATTCGTACATGAAAATGTCCCATAAATAGCCTTTCCCATGTTATCATTTCATGCTTCATTAAGTCTGCCAATGAACTCACTTACTAACTGCACCGTATGTGACGCAATAAATTATGGCTTGGCAGTTTAACCTTGGATTTGACGCTGCATAAAAATGTTGCTTATTTCACTACCTTTCTCTTTGTATCTATTATTATTGAGCACTGTGCCACACCTAGATAACTCTGAATTCCAATTGTTTAGGGAGTGTGTTGTTAATAAATGTTATTCTGCATTAATATTTTTAAGGTAGCCACTATATGAAATACACAAAATTTGCAAGCCTAATATAAACATGATCTCTTCCAATTGTATCAGTTAAAGAAGTTCCTTGATCAATTGATTCCAATCGGCATAACAATGTAAATGGAAAAGCAAAACCATAGACCAGGCAGGTCATGTTTCGTAACAACTAGTAATCAGTCCAATAATTTCACAACAAAACAGGGTCATAGAACTTGTTTATGCCGAGTAACCATCCTAGCACATGCTTAACAACATGACACGCACATTTCCTAATCCGGATAAAATCCCAAAAAGTGCATACCTTCGATTAATTTCAAACATCGCATACCCATGTACTTTAACCCACTGATTACACATAAGAACAATTATTGAAGGCCTGTTATGCATTCCCTCGTTAGATAAATGCCACAATCAGATTAAAGTAATATCGAGCTACATACCAATATATTCAATCAACAACATTGTGCAACATTACCTCATAAATAAACAAGTGTGGAACATATTAGCAGAGAATTTCTACATACTTAATAATAAATTACAAACTCAATTTTATGCACTTTCGTAGCCACGTAGTATCGCATGAATGATTAGTAAAAATGCTGATTTCCGTTTCTCTCCTGAAAAGCATTTCCTTTCTCTCCGAGAGAGCCAACTGGCCCACAGCCAACGCTAACAAGCGCGTCTATCATTCCTCGATAGGAATCCCAACAGATGGATGTTTTCATTTTATTATCAAGGCTCCACAAAGACTCCTTATAAATAAAGTGGGCAAACTGGCCGGAGAGAAGGTCGAGAAAGCGCGACCTCATTAACCTCTGGCCCATTAATGGGCCAATAACTTGTCGCGGAACCCGGCAAGGTCGCCGCCGCTTAGCGTCTCGCAACAATGCAAAGAATGCCAACCGGGCGAAACATTCGAACGATTCTACACCTTTGAATCGTTCGAATAGTTCGAATAGATTGAAACGTTCGAGAGGTTCGAATAAACAAGCAGACTAACCCTGAGGTCCCGCCGATGAGGAATTTGATTCCATTCGGCACGGTCTTCCGGTCGCCCATGGTTAACCTTAAAATTGTGCACAGTGGTGGGAGGGACCGGTCGGTTAATCAGCCGAGACCTGTTGACTGAGCAATGGACTTTGAACACTGGTTTTAGACCGTTTTCGTCTGCTTTTGAGCTCGCCGAGACACTGAATGCCGGCTCAAGCGTCCAGAAATTACATGTCGAGTCAGCTGCCGAGAAATGTTAAGTATAACTCCATCTTCCCCCGATCGCTTAATCGGACTCGCTGTAGAGTGGTAGTGGGGGCACCGGCGATAATCGAGTCGATCGTTTCGCCATCTCACCGAAACTCGAAGTAACCTCTAGCATGGGACGTCGGTAATTAACATCAGCAACTATATCTAATGAAGGTAATATAGAAATTCATAGAAAGGAGAACCCAGAACACCCCAGAAGCAGGAAGTCATCGGCAGATTGAATCAGATGCAGTGATCTCGTGTTAAAAGTTCTGCGTCTTTCTGTCCCAGTAGATATGGTTAAATATAATTATATCTTCAAGATACCAGAAGATACGTAGGTTTGTAAGAAGTTAATAGTTAAAGAAAAGTTTCTATAAATTCTAGGAGAAAACAGTCTTCTAGGAGCAGAACGAAGTAGAGTAAGATTTAAATAAGAGAAGTCCTTGTTTATAAAATGTTCCAGTGTAAAATCCATCCTTGTTCGATATGGAATGTTTACATGATATAAGAATAAAATGTGTGTTTTAGGATTCAGTAAGCAACGAGTGCCCAATAAATATAAACAGATTTATCAAGTATTAGGTTGTTTTCATTCAATTAATCTTAAGCAATGACCCTGGCTTTGCCACAGAAGAAGTACTATCGGCAGCGTGCCCATTCAAATCCTATAGCGGATCACTGCTTGGAATAGTAAGGCTTGTTTTTTTACTTGTTAAATTATTTGTATTTTGTACAGTTTGGTAGTTTTGCTGTATGTTTACAGTCCAATAAAACCAGAAATGATGGATTGGAGTTCATTATATCCAGAGCATTTTGACGGAAGTAATGAATGTACGCATAAACCGAAAAAAATGATCGAGTTTGCAGACATTGGTTGTGGTTATGGTGGCTTGCTGGGTATGTATATCTTTTTTACTAAAATATACTTATTAGCATAAATTTATAATTATTTTTCTAAAAATTGCATATTGTGCCATCATTCTCTAGTTACATTATCAACAATGTTCCCTGATAACTTAATTGTTGGCATGGAGATCAGAGTAAAAGTATCAGACTATGTCACAGATCGTATTACCGCTTTGCGTTCACAGCATCCTGGTCAATATCAAAATATTGCTTGCCTTAGAACGAATGCAATGAAGCACTTACCAAACTATTTTCATAAAGGACAGGTATAAAACTTCCTTAATTATCAACACTCTGATCTAAAGTATCAATGATTTAAGCGGGATAATATTTTCAGCTGAAAAAAATGTTCTTCCTATATCCAGATCCACACTTCAAAAAAGCAAAGCACAAATGGCGCATTATTAATCAGCAATTACTAGCAGAATATGCCTATGTGCTCGCTGAAGGGGTAAGTGTAATGGTACTTGGTTTCCCTTAACCCTTGATATTTAATATTGGTGTAAAAATTTAATTCACACTATTCGAAGGCAGTCGTCTACACAATAACGGACGTTCAGGATCTTCATGAGTGGATGGTTCAACATTTTGATGAGCATCCGCTGTTTGGAAGAGTTTCCAATTATGAGCTGGTATGCCTCGTTTTTAATTTCATTATTTAATATATTATTGTGTCAAGTGAAAGTAACAGGGGAATTTTCAATCATTCCAGTCTCTCGATCCCATCACAGAGAAATTGTACGAGAGTACTGAAGAAGGTCAAAAAGTAACAAGAAATAAGGGTAACAAATTCCTAGCTGTTTTTCGACGAATTCCTGACCCATACTTGCAAGGATCGAGCTAGTATCTTGAAAATAAATTTAAAAATGCTCATTAACTTATCTATTTTAAATAAAAAAGTTCTAACTCTTCCATTATGTGACAATTAATGGAAAGTATGTCCAAAAGTCACAGAAGTTTTCGTATCGGCTTTTTCAATGGATACTTCTTCAGAATCCTGCGTTGATAACATTTGTTCATCTATGGTACAATGAAAATTATGACATGTATGTACAGTGTACAGTGCAAACAAAATTAATACAGTTGTTTAAAAAGGAACGATAAACATTTCATATACCTTGATTGCTAACATGGTTTTGACGTATCTGTGGAATAATCTTGTGATATGTAAACTGTCTGATATCGGTTTGTTGTCCAAGGTGAGCAGTGTCCAATGCAAACTCTTCATGGATAATCGTAAATATCATCTAAGAATCACATAAAATATATTAAAAATATTTAATTATGATAAATAACTTATCTATACATAACAATCCTAGTTAGTGCTAACTTCTTCCAGTAAAGATTCAAGAAGGCGTTTTGGAGGTGTTATATAAGATCTTTCTGAGAGACGCTTTCGTTCACTAGGATCCATTACAAATTGAGAATATAACATGTCTTTCGGTGGGATTAAATTTTCCTTCATTACTCGCTTAAAATCATCACTATAAAGGATATCCCTGAAACAAGAAATATTTTTCCTATTAAGAATGAATTCTATTTGAAATCTGATAAGTGAATAATTTATATGCCTCACCATATAAGACCTTCCAAAATGAATGTTGACATGTCTAAAACTTCTTCCGAAGCATGTAATTTAGGTAAAACCGATGGAATACTAAACTCATTTGGCGGTGTGTTTTTCAATTGATCATCGATACTAACTTTCAAGTTTTCATCTGGTAAACTGTAGGTACCACAGCGTATAGTAAGACCTTTGTAAAAAGGCTTTGGATTTTTCACTTCATTCATGGGAGCGTTCTAAAATAAAATGAATTTCTTATATACACATGATGAGAAACCTTTGAAGTATGAAAAAATGAAACTCATACCGGCACACTGAGACCTTTTTCTGTAATAACAAATTGCCCCTCCAGTTCTTTGTGAAGAATATCTTGCATAATTAAACTTTTCTGGTAGAGACGTTTTTTGCTGAGATTCATGAATTCACACGTGATATCTGCATTGCCTTTAAAGGGAAGTCCCCCTGTATGCACAGTCAATCGAAAGGTTTGTACGGAGTCTGGTTGGATTCGACCTGTAGTGGGCTGAATGTTAATGCGAAGAAGATTTGGTAGACTGTAACTGGAATATAAATATTAATTTATGACGATCATAATCTTTGTATTCGTTTTAAATGTAAAAAATTATGAAAGTACTGATGTACTTATGGAAGTTTACTAACTTTTGCCATTTGTATCCAATTACGTCGTTTTTTAGCGTATTGCGGATCATTATCATCCTTGTTACTTTGGAATGAGTCGGTACAGGCATAATCGATATATGGTCTGTGTTGAAGTATACCGGAACTTCTGGTACACAGAAAGTATCAAGAACTGGTGACACTTCTTTTGTTGGCTTTGAAATGTCAAAACTAATACCTTCCCCTTTCAACAACAGATCCGTCTGCTTGTTGCCTAACTTCATCGGAACTACCACCTATATCGTCAAGTCCAAAAACAGAAATAAATAATTGAATTTCTGTAAATAAGTTCTTATACATTTACTTTTAAACAATGTAACAAAACTGAGTCATGCATACTTCAAATTTACCAAACTGCCTGGGATGGAACTTGAAGATCAGTGATTTTGTGGACCGAGCCTTCATGATGCCATGGGATTCCTCGCAGGAGAAAACATTAGTGGTAAAGGCTTCGTTAACTTTATGTATCTGGCTTGTATCTAAAGTGTATGATACATCATGATCCATGTCATTATACATCCAACATAGCTAAACATAAATTCGTTGGTTATTAACCTTTGTTAAGTTAAAATAATTTATTTTAAATGAAATTACAATCTAGTTGCAACTACCATTAAAAATTAATTTTGTACAAAACCTGATACACTGGATTCATATCGCCAATATAAATGTTGTTCAGTATTATGCGTGGACTATCAAATAATGTAGGACCACATTCATGTTCAGAAAGACCAACAATTTCAGCATTCCATATTACATGCCGATCTTGACCAAATTCTAAATCCCATTGCAGCGTAGTCAGCCCCTGCAATTTGTACTTTACCTCTATTGTCAACACTGCAGTCTCATTTTTCTAAAAAAAAATAAAATATACATTACAATTATTCATTTATTATACTTCTTATCATCCTTACTTGCAGAGACCTTTCCTTTGGATAAATAGTACATGCTTCTCGATGCTGGCAATTGAACTCAGTTGACTTGAAAGTCATGCTTCCTCCTTTTTTGGGAACACGGGGACATGAACAAATTTGAATTCTCTTTAAAATCCATGAAGCTATTATCGGTGTCGGATTAATTATCAAGAGCTTTATCAAAAGAGGTTCATCGTTTAATACTAGCTCTGGAAAATGGACATTAAATATCTCCTTTTGACCAGGCTTTGAAGTTTCCAGAAATGAGTTTAACCTGGATTTATAATAATTTTCCTTTCAGTAAATCCTGAAACTCTCTAATCTCTTTAGGAATTTCTGTGTCGTTACTTGTTCACTTTCAGCATGTTCCAAAGACGAACCTTGCTCGTATTGGGACCAGTGCCGTAATACAATAAATCCTTAATCTAAAAATATCGTTATTCATTACGTACTATTGTAACGCTTTACACTTAAAAGTAAAAGAGTTTAGTACCTACCTGTAATGTCGGAAGAAGACACATGCAATTTACTTTGCAAACATTTATCGGCTCCACATTACTTACAATGCTATCAGTTACAGCGTTCGGTCTAATAAAATATATTATAGAAAGCTCATAGAAGCCAGGCTCATGAGGAGTAATCGAAACGTAAAGTCTTTCTTTCTTTCCCTGACGAACAGTCCCTGAAGTAGGGTGAATATGAATGTCATTTTGCACATCACCAACAGGAATGCCACGATGCTGACAGGACATTTGAAAATGAATTTCCACTCCACTAAAGTTGAATACGTTGAAACTGAGCGTCTTGGTTGTTCCATAGCCAACGATTCCAAAATTTATTTCGTTAGGTATTGCCTATAAGAACTATACGTTATGTCAAAAAGTAATAACATGAAGAACACTGTTTAAAAATTAAAATTTATTTACTTTAGATACTTGCATTATTATATCAAATTAAAAAGGAATTAACTCACCACTAAAATGCCTGGCTCACTCTTCCCCGTAACATTGATCGGGACATTCACCAAAGTTCCAATGGCTCGTCTACCAATCAAACTAGTTAAACAACAATCAATCTTAAAAGTGTAGTCTCTTAATTTCAGAGGACAAAATATCCAATTATGTGTGAGTATTTCATTGGGATGTATTCGACCTTCAATACTTTGAAGATTCAACTCTTCGGGTACATCATTGAATGAATACCTGGATGTAGCAAATGATTTTAAAGGTTCACATATAATAAAAATTTACTAAATTAAAATTCTACTCACAAAATGCAGTGGCGAGTAACGTTACGCATGGTGAGCTCCTGACTCTGGTAACAACCAGGGTGAACCGGTTGGAAAGCCACTAGATCGTTGTTATTGAAAATGACACTCGGAGACTCTGTAAAACCTCTAAAATCTATCGGCACCTCATATTGACAGTTTCCGTTGAATTGAATTGCCCATCGTTCAATATAAAGAGGTTGTCCCTCTTCTTCGGGAAACATCCCCAAAGTAACTATTTGGTAATCACTGTAAAGAATTAATACAATGATGACAGGAAAATTTACAGTTGTACAAAGGAGGAATTCAAAGAGCATACTTGCGAATTACACCAATCATTGGTTTAACAATGAAATGACTAGTTGCTGGTGGTATGAAGCGAAACATCAGAGGCACGTAGCCACGTCTTTTTATCATAAAAGTTGTGTACACTGAGATTGGGGGGACACATGGTGGCATAATTACTGTTCTTGGCACATCATACTGTGGTATCCAAATGTCGGAGTCACTTGGAAAGGAATGTCCTAGAAGAAAATAATCATTAAAAGTTCCTAATAATTTTAAATGAAAAATTAATAATGTTAATCAATCTTGTAATTGACATTGTATCATTCAAGTTATATAGAAAGGAAATATTCATACCGATTAATCTGATTGTAATGACCAGTGGAACAGTCAATGAAGGTGTTAATAAATTTTGGCATGTCCAAGAAGTCATGGGTCCCCAAAATATTCTTCCAAGTAATTCTTTGTAGAAAACATCTCTCTCAACGGAAGGATCAAAGTGAACTTCGAAGAGGGTTGATTGTCGTTGTTGAACCTGGGCAGTTGTTGGCTTAATGCAAAAGGATCCATCAACATCTGCACCATTGTTATTAATTTCTCATTTATCTCACAGTATTTAAACTATTACATTTAAGACCTGGAAATGTTACCTTCGTCCCACTTCATGAAAATGTCTAATTGACTGTGATTCGTGAGGCAGATTGTTCGTGGTATCCGTTGAGATGCATTCTTGCCACCAACATTAGTTTGTCCAAAATCAATGTAGTTATAAGATAGTGATATCGGTGGAGTATTTTCATCTCTAATTATAACGCTGTCACTCATGTAACCTTCGAAACCTTTTGCTTTGTACAGAGGGCGTGGAAACATTTTTGAATGAAATTGCTCCTGATTCTGGAACGAAGTACCATTGTATCCATAAAGCTCAATAATGATAGGACTCTGGAAAATATGAAATGATCATGTAATTTGCTCAAAACTAAATTCTGTGTACTACCATTTCCTTAACAATTAAAAAATTCCTTTCCGATTCTATGTTTATAATACAGTACCTGATTCTGTATTAGACACGGTAAATGAAATGCATAATGTCCCAGATCTGGAGGACAGAATGTAAGTGTAATATATACATGAGCATTTGGTTTCAAGACACCATTGACAATGTCAAGCTTGAAAGGACACTGTGTTAAGTCTATATCAAACATGAAATACGCAGATACTTTGGAATTATTAGTTAGTAACATTCTCTTCTTTGCCCAGTCACCTTTCTTAGGGTTTGTCAATATCATTTTAGATACCGAGCAGTAAACATTTGGACCTAAATCACAGAAACAATATATAATTAATTAGAACACATAAGTAAAAATATATTGTGCTAGAACGTCGAAACGGCAGACGATCCAAAGCTGAGTTGTAATGGTAATTTTGAAGAAATATTAAATACCAATGCAAGTGCCATGCACAATTATTTTGTAATAGACTTGAGTGCAATCAGTTATGCTGAAGTAATCTATGTTTTTGTAGAACGGTGTCAATGGCTTATAGCATATGTCACATTCAAAGGTACCCCCTGGAGGCAAAGACCAACTATATGCATGCAAATTGAAGACATAATCCAAAGGGTTCGTTATCGGGTCTCTTCGAGCCTCGTACGTCTGCTCCTGCTAAAATTACATAGATCATATAAGTACTAATTATGGAATCTAACATATCCAATATGTATACGGTATAAAAGATTCGCAAAAAATATGCAACTCATCCCTTAGTCATTTTGCTTTGACACTTACCTGACTTTCATTAACTATTTTAAGAGTTTTGACAACTGTCATACCCGCTTGAACCTTTCCGAATTCTATTTTAATCACGCGGGTATTTCCCGTAGCGCAACAATCCATTTTTCCAACTCCACAGAATCAGCTATGAAAATTGTTTAAACTTAAATTCATTTACCGCCACCAAAAAGAAGGATATTGAAAAAAAAGAACGCGAAAGAATTTTCCACCAGAGATGAGTTGAAACGCCTAGAAACGCCTCAAGCGCCTCGAAATGTCAAAAACGCATATCTTCGCTGAAAAAAAATCACAGCCTCTCGCTCGAGAGATCAATTTGAGGAGAACAACCTTTCCCGTCGAGCTACTGTGGTCGCAGGTGCGAAAAAAATTCACCGGGAGCTGGAATTCAGTTGCCGGTCTACATTATACACTGAATAAATGAGTTTGAATGACGCGCCAATTTAGGTTAGTTCAAGAAGTTCCTCCAAGTGAAGATGGCGCTAGAGCATCTCTGGCGTTCACCCCAATATATGGAAGTGTTGCCCCCCTGGCAGGGCTTTACGAAGACGCGAAATAGATTTAATTCCGACGTAATCAGTTGAATTTCCGGAGATCGAGCGTGACGGCGCTACATCGAGACACGATGGTTTGAGAGGCCGAGGAAGTGTCAGGGCGCCCCGCCGATCTGCGACGATGAGTTGACGCTGACCGAATGTCGTAGGAAAACAAAGAATGGACGTCGCGGACGCCGAGGGGCCCCTGGACCCCCGCATTCAGGTAGAGGAAAATCATTTCGTTCACTCTTCCTCCTGCATTTTGAATCGCCTTAATAAAGCTTGCCCATTTTTGCGTTTCTGGATAACTGACATAAGCCTTTGTTATCACAATTCACACACTTTCGGAAAAGCGTTACTATAGTACCATGACACGGCCTGGTACCTCTTTCTCGCATTGTTTACACCAACATTTTTCTAGGATCATGTCATGCTATAGAATACGGTAATTCCGGCGTGATGAGTTGGGTATTTTATTCCGTTGATCTGTCAATCCCTGTAACAATGTCCGAATGGAAAGTTTCTTTGATTTTCTTGCTTCTTTTTGCTTCGCTTTTCCTTAAGAGCAGGGTAAATCATAAACAATAATGTCTGTTATCTGATGTATGGTCACTGGTGACAAACGTGATGTTGTTCGTTCTTAGCGATGATAAGACTGTAAATGTGTATGGTAAAATCATGGATGCTGTAAATTTGTTGTTTTGCGTGTTATAGGTAGAACTGGAAAACTTGAACAATGCAACCGATGAAATAAATAAACTGGAGATCGAACTGGATGTAAGTTCTTGTTTTAATTTTTGCTTCATTCTGGGATAGGAGTGATTCATACCGTAGTTAGGACTGGGATATTGTCTCTGTCATTATACCGTGAAATTACATACTTGCATAATTCCAATAGGCCCAAAGGATGTCTACAATCTTTTATAATTAGCATGTATCATAAAGCCACATGTATACTTTTACTTGGTCAATTGTGCTCCATTCCCATGGAGAGTCTCGTTTCCACTGTTATACTTTCCCTGGCAGGGACAAACGTGAAACCAGACTCCATTGTTTATTCCATTTTTAGGCATACATCAAAATTGCGATATAAATGAACTCTAAGACGACTGAATTTTAATGTTGTTAACAGGAAGCACATACTGCCTTTAAGCAGTTACTATCTGACTCGACGAGGAGATTGAAAGAAATAGCAAATAAATTAGGAGGGGGCTGCATCGAGAAGGCGAGATGTTATTATGAAGCAATGGAGGTTGCCCGCCAAGCAAGGGTCGGTAACAGTTAACATCAATTATTTCAAACTTTTAAATCCATTGAATCAGTAAATCAAGACTGACGTGTACAAGTAACTGAAAATATTCAATCTTCCTTCGATCAACAGATACAATGCCAACGCCAAGCTCAATTATACCAGCGAGCAAGTGAAATTCATGCCGCTGCTAAGGAGACGGTGGCTCTGGCCGAGGCCAGATTTCTATCGCATCAGCACGAGTGGAATTTTGACCAGGCATGGCAAGACATGCTGAATCACGCTACTATAAAAGTACGTGCATTATCTCTGATAATGAAAGATAAGCTGTTAATTGAGCATTTTGGAGGAATTGGAGGTCACTCTATGCAAAATAATTTTTAGGTAATGGATGCAGAAAATCAAAAGGCTGAATGTGGCAGAGAGCATCAGCGAAGGGCCTCACTGTTTCACGATGCCGATGTGAAGGCACAGCAGCTGGAGGAAAAGCACCATAGAGCAATTATCAAGGCTAAACCTTACTTCGAAGTACGAGCCCAGTGTGATCAGATGTTAGCGATGCAAAAGGAAAGAGTCGAGTGCCTACAGAAGGGAGTAAGAGACGCAAAACAGGCCTACGCTGCGAGCCTTCGTGCCTTGGAAGAAATTAGTAATCAAATACACGAGCGAAGGAGAGATTACGGTATCGTCTTAGTAGATTCTATTTATACATTCAAACGTCTCTCTTCCTTTTAAAATTATTAAAGAAATTATCAATATATATTTATTTTTAGACATGGTAGTCAGCGGTCCTAGGGAGCCCGGAGTTGGTGCCGAACTAATCAGTTCTGCTGATAGTTTGAATTACGACGCCGAACTGAATAAGGTCAACGTCAGTAGAATAAATTCCTTAGCAAGCAGTGAACCTGACACCGACGACAGAGCACAAGACTTCGAAGTCAGTTTCAAATTTTATGAAGCAATCTCTCTTCCGATATGTTACTCTCAAAATGTCCAGTGTTTAATATTATATGATTTTAGGACGTTTTGGAGCTGAAACAACGAATGGATCAGCTCGGTAGCCGTTCCGTCGACGGCAGCGAATCTACCTCCAGTCAGTGGGAATTAGAATTGCAAGCTAGCATGGAGAAATTGAACAATATTCCCCTGAGAAAGTCCAATTTCGAAGCGAATAAAGACTGTCGTGATTCGAAATTGGAGAGCTCTACACCGCAGAGTATTTCTCCTCTGGAGACGCACGTTAAGGATCTTCCGGAAGCCAGTAGGAACGAGTCCAACAGATCCAGGACAGATTTTAAATCTCTGAAAAGGAGCTTCGCACGTGGGGTGACGTTGCCCCATTATCAAGGCTGGCAGTCCCTGACGCAAAGTCCCATAAACTCCATTCTAAGCAGGTCTAAGATCGCCCTAAAAAATAGCATATCCAAGTCTCTGACTAACAGCCCTGTAAATCTAGGAAACTTCAGTTTTGGGGAGACGTTGAAAACTACCAATGCAAAAGCAAAGCCAAGTATCGTTGAGACAACCAAATCAAATGCTGATGATAAAATGGGATCAGAGGTGGAGGAATCTCGAGGGCATCGCAACAGACTGGAGAATAAATCTAACCAGAATCGCGAAGATTCGAATGAGAATTTTGAAACTGTGCTGGAAACGAAAAATTCTTCCGAAATCATAGTCCCTGCTGACCAAATCTTGAACCTAGAAAGCCTCGAAAAGAGCTTGAATTCAGATGCAGATAACGATAAGAATTGCGTGAGTGGATCAAACCGATTGCGATTACAGCACAAGTCGGATTCACGTGGTTTTAATGATACGGGGGATTTTGAAAATAAGACTTTCTTGTCGCGCAGCGTTAACGTCACGCCAACGAGGTCGAGGACTCTGGTGGAGTTGAAGAAATCGTCGAAGTCGTTCGATAACGGGGATACTGACGGTGATAGGGAATCGATTATGGCCGATCGGCAGGTGCGGTCTGCGAAGGAGTTGCCTTTGCTCTCGATTTTTGAATGCTCAGTCTCGTCGAAGACCGTGATGAGCAAAAGCTGCAGCATGGTTAATCTGGCTGAGAAAAGGAATCTAATGGCGCTTTTGGATAGTTCAAAGTTGGGGAACATTCACGCGGTCAGCGTCGAAAGACTGGCTAACGCTCGACATAATTTGGTTGGGGAGAGTTCTGAGCCACGAAACGAATACCCAAAAAAATGAATGCTGATGATTGCATGATGCCACATAAATTGTGATACATGCAGAAAGTTGAGGATCGGCACCGTAATGATTTTATATGTTAATGCTGCCTGATGTTCCGAAGCTTCGAAACATTGATTTCTTCTTTCGCGGTGCATAAGGAATCATGACGCGCTGATCTTCAACTCTGCTGACTTAAGAGTGGCGAGTACGAACAATTTAATTATAAGGGTGCCAAAACGAAAGTACAGACCTAACACTGCATATTATACGTGCATAATTGATACTAACTGATCGAATTAAAGAGGAAATGTTCAGAATATTCCTGTCGAAAGGTAACAGAGTGCCCCACTTCGGAAGAGAAGGAAATGTAACGAACATGATCTTTTTTTTAATGATATTATTTTGCAACACGAAGACTCAAATCCATCGATACTGATTCTGGAAAATCAAATGATATTCTTCGTTAAGTTTATATTTGGTGCACTAGAGATTAACGTTACCGTACAAATCATGGCACTGAAAAATCTCGAGCGCGTTAGGGATGAATTTTTTAACTCGCATTTTATACGCCTTGGATAAGGATTAGTTAATAAATTCGTTGTTCCTGGATGTCGATCCTAGAAGCAGGATTGCTTTCGAAGGTAGCTGACGCACAAAATCGCGTACGTAATTTATAGAAACTAAAAGATGAAGATGCCACGCATTAATCATTGTTTGAACGCGTTTGATAAGGCGCTCGTAAATATTAATTCGTCGACCTAGGTCGCAGTCGCTCAATCTGAAGTTTTCCTAACTAAAGGCGAAGTGGATATTCTTAATCGTAAACGAACTCCGAGGCAATGAATTAATGTTATGTTAATTAAGTGGGACCTTTTAGTGCCATGCGGATTTTCTACTAACATGTAACAAATTAGAGAGGAGCCTGCAACGAGGCCAGGCAAATGTAATTAGAGATCACGACAAAGCGATAATTTGTACATATGTAATAGCTATGTCACGGAGGCATTTATATAGCACATAAAGTCATACGAATGCCTTCGTGAATTGGCACGCACTCAATCGATTCATTCATTGGCATCTACCCGGTCCGTTAACTCAATTATTTTAATGACACGGATTTTGAAACAATTATTATAAATCTTCTATTTCACGTCTCACTAGGCTAAAATGTATATAATTCGTTACTAGAATTTTCTACTGGGAATACACTAAGTTATATACCTTATTATAATATCGATCTGTTATATAAAAATCGACCTAAAAAGGGAATAAAAATACGAAAGTTTTAGCGTAAATCTGGCATTTTAAAATTGCAATTGTAACAAATGACCGATGTTTTCGACGTTGAAGGTTTGCCTATCGATAGGTAGATTCTTTTTTTAACAAAAGCCAGAATGTTTACACCTTCTACTGTTACTTGACGGTGGAACTTTAGATAATCCTAGCGTGAAGAATTTAGAAATGCGAAAATCATACGAGCCGAACAAGTATGGAGAACCGTTTGTAAATATCCTGAACTATCGAGCAGTTTATTGGTTTCCTTTGAAACGCCTGATAGTTTTTAAGTTGTGTACCTTTCAAGCTAATCGTGTTAATATTTAATCATGTTAACGATTCTTTTATATACATATTCTGCACCGGATCTAATATATTAGTATACCTTCCGATAAGTCCAGTTCTGTGGACATGGAATTCCGTTCTAATTTAATGGTATGTTTCGCAGTCCCTTTAAATTAGTGTATATACTTTTGTATGAATAATCGCTCGATAACACCGATATTATACAAACTACTTAGACGAATAGGAACACTAACGGTATATTCGGAATATTTCCGAGGATTGTGGCATGTCAAAGGCCAAGATGAATTTAACTACCGAATCGAATACCCGCGTTATCTCGCTATCATTAGATTTCTATTAATTATCCTCCGATTAGTCTTAGATAATTATTTAATCACCGATTCCTTCCGACAGTCCCGATCTCGAGGGACTCTGCGTAGGCAGAAATATTCTTTAATGCTAATAGCGTAGAGTTTTGCGCACAACCTCGCTGCCTTAGTTCGTATGACTTTGTACAATCGAAATTTTATAGATACGACTTATCCAATCGAGTGCCAGGGGTACGAAATCGGAAATCCTTCCACGAGAATGACATAGATTTATACTCGCACAGTTAACTTTAACAGCCGATTTTACGTTGACGTAGCAAACATACGCGCAAAGTTATACTCAGACTGTTTGGACCTCTCTTTTGCCAGGCAAAAAATCTAAGACCTCCATTTAGCCCCCATGGGTTTGAAACTTTTTTTTTATTTCTTTTTTAAACGGAGTTTAATTTAATTTAATTCGACACCGTGGAGGATCTCAACAGTTTGATCGTGACCATGCCATCTCATATGTTCCTTAGGGCCACATATAATAAAACTGCCGCATAATCCTGAAAAGTGGTCTCTGATTTATTTTAATTAATTCCAATTAATTTATAATATCCGCTGGATCTTCTAATAATTTTTCACTCTTCCTCAGGAAAGGATCAAGGAAGACGAGCTCGCGCTCACGTTCCTCAACTTGGCGATGCTCTTCAGGCTTCGGCTTCGACTTTCGGTCCCGGTGTTTGTTTCTCCCCGCTCAAGATGGCCCTCCGTTAGCGACTCGAGGAACGGAAGATCGGCTTCTGCCAGGGCGCCACGTCGTAAATTGACCAAGAATAAAGGATACCTCGCCGGAGCCGCCGGCTTTTCGAGAGGCTGGCGAGAGGATGCGAGCCCGAGGACGTTTCCCTCCCAGAGGAGACGAGGCGGCCATTTCGCTGAGAGGCTGAGGAGTCGAGAGGGCCTTTTTGGAAATTGACAGTCGGTCCGAGGCGCGGCCTCTTCGTCGAGGGCGAGGAGTCCTGGAAATTGACGGTTCACTGGAAATTCCTGGGCAGAAGAGGACCGGGAACCTGAAGAGGGCTCGAGGTCTGGAAGAGGACGAGACCCATGGAGAGATCCGAGCATATCAGGACGGAGGAGACTGGAAAGGGAGCCAAGGTGATCCGTAAAAAATAGTAGAAAACTTTGATAGATGTACTTTTATCACGGAGAAGGCATTGTCAGTCGTAAGACATTTTTATAGACCAGGGAAATATTGTTTGAAGGGCATGGACCAATCCAAGGGGAGGCTGGCGAGTGACGAGAGAGGGCTGCAGGAGAAGAGAACTGCCAAGACGGACCGTGCCGACGAAGGTGAGCCCGAAGAGGAGGACGACGAGATCCCGACGAGGCGGGAAAACGTGCGATATGGCATCGGGGCAGGACTTTGTGCCATTTGTCATTTGACAGTCAGTGGCACGAGTCCTGGAGGAGTCTCCGCAGGCTTTGAGCAGACGTTGTCCTGCTCGCAAGGACACCTTCTCTGCCACCGATGCATCCAGCGGTTTGCCATTCGTTCGGGTAATATTATTTAGAGTCGTGATATATAGTCCAAAGGCGTAGCAATTGTCCAGGAATTACAAGTTTTTTTTTTTTTTTATAACATATCCTCAGACGCAAGTTGCATGCTCTGCGTCAAGGATTCCCAGCACTCCAACTCAAGCTGCTCTCGTGATAGCAACGGTAGTCTGCAGCGAACCACTTTGAGTGCAACCAGGAAATACGAGCTCCAGGAACAGAACGTCCAGCAGAGTGTGGACGAGTTCCGAGTGAATCCCTGGCTTCGTGGCTACGGTACCCTGGAGCCCACCACGAGCAACAAGATGGGTCATCAGGGCCATCCAATGGCCAGTGAGACCTTCTGCGATTGGGATACCGAGCAGGGTGACGTTAGAGATTTGAGAAGGGACCAGGTCTCCAGGCAACACCAGCAACGAAGTTATTGTAGTATCATCAGAAAGCAGGACTCCGAGTTGACTTCGGAGACCAAGATGAATGGGCAAGTAGCCACGGAGTGCTCCAGGCGTCCCATAAGGTGTCCTCGGCTGGACTGTGCAGTTAATGTCGCCTTCTCTGCGCTGACTCACCACTTCCTCTTCGATCACCCCGAGGTACCCATCCTAAGTGTCGAGCCAGGTCTGAAGAGCACTCTCATAGTTAGCTTCGCAGCTCTCTCCTGCGATTCCAGTAGATGCTTGGCTCTTCTTCTAGTCTCAGGGAAGTTATCGTAAGTCGTGGAACCGAGCAATCTAAGTTAACAACGAGGACTTTAAAGTAGGACCATGAGTGAAACCTAATATTAATGTTTTTTGTATAAACAAGAGGCCCTGCGGCGAGATTATTTAATGGAGGCCAGATCCATCCAAGATATCGCAACAGACTTCCACTACCTGTACTAGCTGCACGTCTGCATTGCACTAGCAGATATACAACCCATGATGATGTGCATGCCGGAGGTGAGGGTCATGGCGATGGAGATGTCATCGTAGTCTGGGTTGCTGGTTTGGACATAGGAAACTCCTCAGGATCTCTTCGTTGCAGCATCGAAGTACTCAATAATTTTTCTTTGTGTTGTTTGAATATTTTCTTAAATACAACTTGTAGCCTTAAAGACACTGGTTCATTTCTAGGCAGTCGACAGCGTGGAGAACGAGTGCTTTCGCTCCCTGACCTTCACAGGCCCTGTGAACTCTCTGCGAACGGCTCAACGTCCACGAGAGGTCTTTTTAACAGGGGACTGTGTAATCCTACATGAAGGCCTTATCGACCACATCACTTCAGGATGTACCAGCCTTAACGTAAACATCACTATCCATTGATGACAGAAACTGGACTTCTTCCCTTCCGACCATTCATCACTTACTCCCTGGAGCACTCCCGGACTGAAGGGACAACTCACTGGAACCAAAACTAAACGGTAATGAAATAATTCTTTTAATAGCATATTTGTAGGACCGTCAGATAACATATATAACTTTCAAATGTCACTTCAACATATTACTTTGACTCAAATTGAGTACGAGGCTAGGTAAAAATGGCAGGAAATGTTAAAGCACTCCGTTTTCGAACTTCCGTTGGCATTTCAGTGAGATGTCCCTTTATGATGAGGAATCCTAAACTTTAACTTCAAACCGGATGACTTCCCGAGGGACCTGGACCACTTCCTCGAACTTCTCCACGGCAAGGACAGGAACCAGGTCGAAGATTGTACAGAAAAACGTTGTTTTAATAGAAAAGTAAGTATAAAAGATAAGGCGATGCGGGAGGAGAAATGATCTCGTCGAATATCTATAGGCTCGTCATAGCTGGAGGACGGGCGTAAGCCTTGGGGATAAAGCCATATTTCCTCGTTTTCGGTGCGTACGCCCACAGCCACCCGTCGACTGTCTGATTGCCGAGATCCGCGTAGATCCAGTCGGCTCGTCTTACGGACAAGTCATCGGGCGCCTGCGCCTTGTAGTCGTAGAGGACAACCAACTCGGTGCCAGTAGTCTCGTCTCGGAAGTCTCGCAAGTCCTTCTGCTGCAACTGCTCGCTCCCCGTCGCATTTCCATTCCCCGCACCTGAGCACGAATGTGACCGAGTGCCTCCATTAATTCCAAAATATTGTCTCTCCCTAACTTGTCAAATAATTGTCTTGTTCCGTCCTGATTATAGTCAGTAGAATTTAGTGGCTGTCGGTCCTGTCCAATGTGTAATACTGTCGAATAAATAATACTAACTAATGCTAATAGTTGCTTGGATGTTTCGTTATTGATTAAAAGTAATTATGATCGTGTCAGAGATTGGGTACAAACCCAGCGTATGTGGATCGGCAGTTGTTGTTGTGGTTGTGGTCGTTGTGGCAGTGGCTGAATATGAATGGAGAACATGGCCTGGGTAGACAAAGCCAGAAGGGACGAAGCCTTCATTGCCATCGCAGTGGCGAAGCACCCAAAACCAGTCTGGATCGTCTCTATTAAGCACCGTCACAAATTCTCCCCTTTCTACACTGACGTCGTTCTCATCTCTTGCCACGAAGGTATACAGAACTATGTATCTGCCTGCCGATGGGTCCTGTACGATTATAAATATCACACGTCACTTTTCAATTAAAAATATCTTGATCCAGCTAGACCAAGGATGAGCTTAAAGCACCTTAAAAAATGGATGGACGTCAGGTTGAGAAGCCGCTGTGTGTATAGAATTCTGGGACTGAGCCACGTTCGATCGGTTGATGTTTATATCAGCCGTTGTGACGTTGCGGGCATAACTTTCACAGTCCGATGCAGAGCCCGTGTCAGTCTGCTGGCCCTCTAGAGTCTGCGACCTCGAAGCACTAGTCAAGTCGTCGGTGTCATTGGACCGTGGTAGTTTCTTCTTCACATTGTTCATTAAGGTGGCCAGCGTGGACTCGGCAAGTTGAGAAGTGTACGGTGCACAATAAGAATGTGGTACAAAACCTTCCATCCGAGTATCCGCAGCTATCACATATACCCAGTCGTTCTCTCTATACAATACATTGACAACCTGCAAATGTAATTTAATTGATTGCATCGAGTATTTATCATAACTCGGTACTCAGAATTACCGAAAGCAAGGCTTCTAACCTGTCCCCTTTTCACTTGAAGTTCGTCATCTACACATGGAGTAAAATCATGAACTATAACCATTTTGCTGTCGGGGGAAAGACCGTTCTCTTTTTCGATGCCCACTCTAACTAAGGTTTCGATACTGGCACTTCCTGTTATACGTCCTGGTGGCAGCGGCACTCTGGTACCGGGCCCTAATCCTACTCCACCAGCTCCGACGCCATCCTTTTCAAGATTAAAACTGTGGACTCCAGCTATAGAAACAACCTCTATATACTTAACATCTTCAATTAAATATCTACTATTTCAGCTCTCTTTGTAACATGTTACTCTAAATGCAGTGTATCAACTAAAAAAGGAGGAATTGATATGGTTTCCGTCGGTTCATTCATGACAAAGATAGAGAAACGTTTAAAAGTGTCGCTAATTAAAAGGAGAACGAACGCGACCGTCACCGAGCAACAGGTGGGACAAGTAGCCCTTTAAAAGGCCAGGCGACTGCGGCCGACTCGATTCCTGGAAAAGCTCACGTTTCTTTTTCTTCCCACGGCGAATGCGCACCGGACACAGGAAAGCCATTCTGCGTGGCGACGCGGCCGGCTGTCGGGTTTTCACATTTTCCCCAAATCGGTTCCTCGATTCCGGAAGAGCTGGCCGAAAGTCATCCCGCACTGCAGGGATGAGGGCATTGAAGTCTCCGGGACCTTTAAGACGTCCGTACCAAGAACCTGATTATTAGCCGCCTAGGAGGCTCAAGCGCGTTTACGGACCACGAAGCACCTTGAAACAATAATTCAGTGGTTAGTGGAAACACTCACGAGACGCGAAGTACGAGAATTTTCGATTTAAAGGGCTTCTTTCTTAAATTCTCTTCGGCTTACACCTGTCTTGTTACACCTGTCGGTACCTGTCGGCATACCTGCGCCCTCTCCGTGATGGCGACGGAACTTCGGCGTCAGGTTCTCTGTGCGCTGATTGGTTAAGACAGAAGGTAGCAGAAAGTAACTAGAGTTGGGTAAGTAAAGTATTCCTGGTAATTTTCGTAGTTTCTTATGCTCGATTTTTTCACCTACGAATATGTCCCGATAAAGTTATCCGGAACAGAGATGAGTTGGGAGATTGTTCACGGGCAGGGTCGCGCGATCGCATTCTGTGCTGCCCTCTGGTTTCGTACGTTAGCTTTCACCGTTTTTTGCTCCCAAGGGCGGCGCTACGAATTTCTGGTAGGGGCTCGCGCACTTGCGATAGCAGTGCTGTCTACCAGTAGTCGTTGGCTCCCATTGTATCATCTTATAATTATGGATTTTCCGTTAAGGTGACGAGAAAGAGGCAACCGAGGGGTCGGTTGATAAGGAAATTTTTCACAAAACTAGGTGTACCTAATCGTTTGAAATTTTATAACGTGAGTATAAAGACCCTGAAACAGGGTTCCGTAGCCATGAAATTCCGTTATTATAAAGAAATTCCAAAATTGGAATATACAAAGGTGTGATAAGGAACTGCGCATGCGCATGCCGGGGTCGGGGACCCTATATAAGGCAGAGCGCGCGCTCGGAGCATCATTACCCTTTGGTCTTCCGAAGGGTAAACATCGGGTTACCTGCTTCTACCGTAACTGGTTTAACCCCAGTTTTAACCGGTGGTTAAACCTAACGGTTAACTCTAGTTTTAACCTCCGGTTAAACCTAACGGTTAACCCCAATTTTAACCTCCGATTAAAGTTAAAAGTTAACCCCAGTTTTAACCCCCGGTTAAACCTAACGGTTAACCCCTGTTTTAACCTCCGGTTAAACCTAACGGTTAACCCCAGTTTTAACCTACGGTTTAACCTAACGGTTAAAAATCAAACTTCGGTTAACTTAGGTTGTGAAACCGGGCCTTATGGGAGACATCCCCCCTCCCTTCCGTTCCCTTTCTTACTATATATAACTTCATTCATTACGTTTGTAACGGGCTTCTGTGCGCAGCAACCTCCACGTGGTGAGCCTGGGGGATCGGTGGTTTTCAATGATAGTTGAAAACCCCCGATCCGCAAATAGCTGCGTGAGTGATTCCACTTAGCGTGTTTTTTTTTTGTATGACAGTAGCTTAACGTAGTTAAAAGTGGAAGCACTCGTTGCGTGCGTGCGTATTTGTAAATTGCGGACAGGACGTTGTCGGGTACCTTTCCATGCAGCTGGTAATTTCGGATTTGTGTTCTAACCGAAGTAGATTTTTGCAGGTACGGCGACGCCGTACCTTTAGTGTATCCGGCAGCTTCCGTCGGCGCCTAGTACGTCGTAGCTAAGCTACGGCGTGCAAGGCTACCTGGCTCAGGTTGTCGGTTGCGCGATACGTTGTTTCGCTCTGGCGGCATCCCGCGGGGGCTCTGCCTGCTGTAAGACGGGACAAGCCCGTCGACTGAAACTCGTATTCGCGGGCCGACAGCCGAGCCGGGTTAGTCGTCAGTGACGGTGGAAGCTGCTGGATTGTTCGCGGTAGATGTAGTATGCCCTTCCGGCAAATTATATCCGTAATTCGATGCCAACTAGCAAGGTACTCGGCGACTTACCCTGTACTCTGCGGCGAGCATTGTATGGACGGATGAGTATGGTATGCGAGTGGTGTGCTGTATGGGTTATGAAATCCTGGTTCTGTGAGTTCCTGGGACGCCGGGAACTCAACGGAACCAGGTGCCTATGCTTAGGCGGGTCCCAATCACAGCGGCCTCCTCGTGGCGGGACCTGGGGGATCGGTGCCATCCCATAAGGATGGTACCGATCCGCGAACTAGCTGTGAAGTAGAATTTAATTAAGGTAAAATTTCACTTTCTCGTAAAATAAATAAGGTAGGTGAAGAGTAAAGTCAAAGCGGGTGCCACGAATGTTCTTCCCTTACCATCAAAAGCGAGCAGTGTCAGTAAGCGTAGGTAAGCCACCACCGTCAACACTCGCATGGTATAATCTCACACTTCCTGGATTATTTTTTAATGTTCTATTTTGCCTGTCCTTTTGTACTCCTTTCCAAGCTAGGTGGATCATTTAACAGGATCCATTTGTTTCAAAAGTCATCATGGGTAGTTCGTCACAGAGCTTGCTGGACTTGGTAAAAGATGTTAAATGATGTTAAAGGATGCTTGTTATTACAGAGATTAGGAGGATCCCTTTAAAATTTGTAATGAAAAACAACTGTGACAATTTTAGAAATACTGGTATTATTGGTAGATAGTGTAAAATGATACAAAAATAAATATAGTTCTTCCCGTAACGTCTAGAACGACGTCGGAAGTTTTTGAAGTAAATTATCCCAAGAGAAACTCATGCGACCATCGGTTAATTCGATTGTGTCTTTTTCGCGTAAACAGGAAAACAATAGATTAAATGGTGAATACCATTTGAGAGTATTACAGTCTCCAATGACAATGAGCTTATGTTTAGCTCGTGTTACTGCTACAGTCAATCTTTGATGATCTTCTAGAATATCGAACTCCTATAAAACAGCACTTCTGTTATATATATTATGAACCATTAAATGGAAAAGTTAATGAAAATATATATCGAAACCTACCCTTTTCTTCACAGCATTCGGTGGACTGCTTTTCGCACACGAATAAATAATAATACTCTTGTCACGGCCTTGGAATTGATCCACCGTATTTATTTCTACACCTGGTTGAATAATGCGTTTCAACAAGTTCACTTGCATTTTGTATGGTGATATTATACCGATATCTTTGACCAGCACTCCACCCTGTAGCCAAATTATTTACAATGAATAAAATAGATTTACATTCATTGTCAAATTTTGGAAGTAGAAACAAACATGGCAAAATGTTTTACCTCAAGAAGAATGTTACACAAATGAAGAACAATAGCAGCTTCAGCTGCATTTGAGCATTTTTGTTCTTCGGGATTACTCCCAACTAACTTCTTGTTGGTTATAGGATATGTTTGATTCGTGTTGACCATTATCACAGAGTTATCCAAATCTACAGCTAAGATAGGTTTAACCCATTCCTCGCATGTTTCTAAAACCTAAAATAATTGGTTTTGTACAAGACAAATTTTAAGTAATAATAAATCTAATATGGTAAATGCCTACCGAGGGATCTTCAAGGACCATTGTTGAATTCGCTGTACTTGGAGATCCAGCTCGCAACTGATCTTCGTACGACAATTTATTAGCTATCTCCATAATTCTGCTGTTCATTCTATATTGCAAAGTCAAAATTACCGTACTCTCTTTGCTGTCCAATCTTATGAACAATGATTCGTTTAAGCCAAGTTTTCTGAAAAAGAATCGAAAAAGCATTGACTACATGATGTAGATATTTGTAAGAGAATTTTAATAGTATTAATACCTAGCTTCGGTGCTTCTTGTGACAGGGGGCAGTTGTTTCGGGTCTCCAACTAAGACAAATTTTTTCGCACTATACAGAGGTTTTAGGACAGTGGGCAGCAATACTTGGGTACTTTCATCTACGATGCAAACATCGAAGACCCTCTTCGATAGCATAGCATGATAAGCGCCAAAGCACGTTACTCCCACAATATTCTAACAAAAGCAAAGTAAACTATTATATTAAAGTAGATAACATTATTTATTAGGCTAATAATTGAAACTGAACGTACTTTACTTTTATACATTGCCTCCAAACTTTCAGCAGAGTTACATTCAGCGGTAAGAAAACTCTCCGACTTGTTCTTCAGAGTCGGATGTATTCTACTTTCTGAACCCAGTCTTATAAAATCGACTTCCAGCTCCGCTAGTTGGAGTAAAATATTATCCACGGCACTGTGAGTGTGAGCAGTGATTATCACCGAATTCCCCAATTTTGCTAACAGCTGGATTACAGCTACTAGTGTTTTCGTCTTGCCAGTTCCAGGCATGCCTTTAATCAAGACGAAGTCATGCGCTGCTAGGACTCGTAGTACCGCATTTTGCTGAACTTTGTTCAAGCAATATAATATTTCAGCTCCCTTGCCAGCTATTGAACGTGGCAGCTTTAAATCATATCTAGCTGGTATTCTAAAAGTATAACAAAACAGATAATAAATGACATTTTCTATTTCTTGACTCTATTATAAATAAAGAGTGTATTAATTTTACTTGTCAATGATGATATTCCGTAACTTTCCACATACGTCATTATCCTCTAAAAGACCAGCAATGTTGACCAAGTTGTATGCCAGCAGCGTAGATGACTGATACTTGTCAATGGAAAATACTGCTTCAGGATTTTTTTGCGATATGTCCCTGAAGAATGTATGAAAAATAAGTTCTAATAGGGAATAAAACTTTACCAGTTAGTATTAATAAATTTTCGAAGTGTTTACTTGTCCAAGGACACGGTGATAACGTCCTTTTCAACTCGACGAACAAAACCACTGCATATATTAATTCGAGTATTTGTATTTATGATAACATAGTTTTGCTCCTTTAATTCTGAGTTGGTAAAGTCATTTATAACATGAGTAGAATCCGCATTTAATCGAACAAAACTGTGCATATACTTGTCATCTACCACATCTACAACCCTTATCTTTAGATTGGCAAGGCAGAATCCGGTTTTTTCTCTGTATGAAAATTAATTCATGTAAAACTATCTTATTCATTGGTTTAAAGACTTCAAGCAATGTTTAAATACCTTTTTTCTGGTACAGTTTTCCAGAAATGCTTTAACGAGTCGTTGTTTTCGCTGATATCTTCCATTTCTAGTAAAAGTATCCATTTCATGATGTAATTAATGTGTTCTGATGGCAAATGGCTAAGAATCTCTTTACTGATTGTTCTCAAGGGATGTTGCTCAGAGAGATTACTATCGCTGTCATTATTCAAATATGCACAACATAAGCGGTTGTAAGAACATTTTACACATGCATTTCGAAAAGAAATAGGTTCTGGTATTTCCATAGGTTTTAATACTTTAGAATCCAAATTAAACTTCTTCTTTTTTACTCCGTCTAGATAATGGGCCAGATTATTTCTGACTACAATCAAGTCTCTTCGTTCAGGATGACCATGCCTCATTTCTCGCATGATATTGTCTCTGTAATATAGCATGAAATTAAGCAACACTGACATTGTTAATGACATAACTTTTCTTACACTATAAATAAGTAAGGTACCGTATGTAGAGAAGAAGTCCTGTATCAACATCATGCCCTGTTAAAGACATCAACATGCAATATAAAGTTACTTGTCCCTTGTGTTCTAAAGAAAAGGTCGGTCTTCCTGTTTTCAATTCCAGTGGCATTATTCTACGTCTCGAATTGATGCCCACTTCGACAGTTACATCTATTTTCCCTTTGATACCAAGTTCAGGAAGCCAAATGTTTTCTTCTATATCATGCACAACTTTTATTTTACCTTTGAAATCGTCATTCATATGTGGAACTATTTTGTCTGTAAAATAATGGGTATATTAATGTTTAAATAAATAATTACTGGACAGGGCTTGACTTGCAATAGAAACTTACCAGTTGTGTGATATTCCACAAATTCGCATATCTTTGGTACATAAGGTTCTATAAGTTTCCGGAGTTCTTCGGTCTTTATGCCAGAATTGTACAATGAGCTTAATGTCCCTCGGGATTGCAAGCATTCATCTAGGATTGCAGTCACTTTAGAAATGGAATAAACATTCTTCTGCAGTGCCTGAAAACACGAAATCCTACATTGATTGTATATTTTTAATAGAAAATCAGAATAGGTATTGAAGTAATTAAAAAAAAAAAAGGCAAGGATGTCAAAGCAAAAGGAACCTTCTGAAACAATTCATGAGTAATCATTCCAACGATCAAAGGAGTATCCGCTTTGTCAGCAAAGAGGGAATCAAATCCTTTGAATCGTTCGTTGAATATACCACGTCGAGCACAAAACAGAGATCCCACTACAGTTGTTGAAGATATGAGTGTGTCAGGGTAATTGACAAGAAATCCATCACTATTATCAATAATCCAATGCCCTGACTTGTTCACCGCTTTTATGGATGCCGATTGACCAGCCTCAATTTGAGTATTTTTCCTAAAAATAATCAATATTTAAACCATGATGGATATAACAATACTTGTCATGTTTAAGAGAATATATAAAACATCTCATTAAAATTATAATACAACAATGTTAATTACCAGAAACCTGAACAGGTGACAGTTCCAACAGCATCTGATTCCCGATCTTTTACAGTCAAAGCAATATTACTGTGATTAATAATTTTCTCAATAATTGTGCACAAACGAAATGAACTCAAGTCTATATCCTGTTTTCCTTCCTTCAGATCATAATCTAATAGATCGCAATTGCCATAAACGTTGGACTATAGTAAACAAAATTAAAAGCATCGCTTAATTAACAGTTTACCAGCTTTCATTAAGTGAATAGATATATTGGCTATACTTCATTAACTGTTGTTTTCACCCGTTTTAAATTTGTTGCACATGGAACGACTTTTTTCCTTTTCTTCTGATCATTCATTACATAAAATTCTTCAATGTCGTCAATATCTGGGAAGTCGTCGTCGAGAATGTCAAAAGACATGTTTAAAAAACTACTTCACTCGACACTATACTTGACACAGAAAAGGGATCCTTTTGTTCGTCACCCTGTTCCTGACACTGAAATTAGGAATATGAATGAAGTCACCAAACTTTCGAAAATATGTAGGAATGAAATTGAAAATATTTGAGGTGACAGGAAATTATAATAATAAGAAAACTTGTCATAAATGTGACAAGAAAATATACATTAGAATAAATTCTTCAGATACAATTTCTCAAATTATGTTTCTGACACATCATACTTTGATATTTCTTCTTAAAATCACGGCGATAACTCAGTCAGTGATCTTGTTATATTTCTGACAGTTTAAATGATGGTTTTCATTCAACATCAGACCTAGTCATAAACGTTCGAACCATTTTTTTTTCACGTGTTTGGCGCGAAAAGAGTTACTCGCGCCATTTTATTTACTAACGTAGGTTATGTATTCAACAGTAGATTAGACGTCCAATTGATAGAAAGATTTGTGAACCAGTTTCCACCTAGCGGCGCCACTATTCATCGTTTTCAGGTAATTACGTATATTTGTTTACAGTAAATTACTAAGTAGTTTACGTCACGAGTTTTGTACAGGATGTAATTTACATCGATAGGGAATTTTATGTTTCTACAGTTCTTGTTCCTGTTTCAAAATGCATGCGCTGATAAAATACAGTAAAATGCAATGCTGTTATCGCTGTTATGCATAAATTAATAATTGACGATGAGAGAAAAGTGAATGAAATATGTGGAAGACGTCTGTAACGAATGCTTCAGATCGTATATTTCCTGGTCTAGCTTATCATGACCGGAAAAAGGAATTTTATGATATCGGTACATTTTTTTTCTGTTAATAGAATGTGTATCGATGATGATTTCTGCTAATATAATAAGAGGATTTATTCATAGGCAACCAAATTATGTCCAGCCTTCCGTTACAAATGGCTTTGTACATCAATGTGTGGATGTTCCCATTTTGGTTTATAATAGCACTAGGTAGCTTAGATGTAAAGGTAACAATTTCTTAGCCTTTGAAATTTTTATTTAACATGTTGACTGTCAAAACAAATGACGAGTGTACAATCGTATAGCAGTTACCGGTTACCAGTGACCACCATGGCAGTTAACGTGTTAATTATACGTGTTGTAATGAATAACTCATTTTTCAGTATCACACATTATCAGATGTATACAAATTTATAACGGCAGCAGTATTATTCATCGTTTCTATACTGGAATGTGCTAGGCTATACCTGGGATATCTTGGGAATTTAGCAGAAAAAGTAATAGATTCAGTTATCTTGACCAGATATTTTGTACCTTTCAATGAATCTTCAAAAATGATTTAATATTTCAGATACCAGAATTGGCTAGTTTTTGGCTGGTATCGACATTGTTACAGTTTCCTTTGGAGTTGTTTTTAATGTTGGACAATGGTACAAAGCCCTTGCTTTGGGAGAAAATATCAAATGGAATAATGATGTCCCTCCTTGTAATTGAAATAGTTACTGGAACAATTGCATTAAAACGTTCCGCTGATCATCATGCTAAAAGATTTTACATGGCTCAATTATACGGCATAGATGACAAATTGGATTGAATAAGACTGCATTTCGATACTAGTAAAATATATATTTATTGACTCTTAAAGACTTTGGCTAAGGTAATAATTGTTTCATTATTACTTTTTTTTTACTAACCAAAACAGTAAGATCACAAACAACTTCTATTAAACATTAGTAGATAGTGCCATTCATGGTATAAGTGAATACTCTCACATATCTTTTGTACAAAATTATATGGCAACAAATTAAAGCACCTTGTAGTTTTAATTGACTATTCCTATAAAGCTTAAACATTATACTATGGCAATGCTATTAAGATTGTGCTGCTCATAGAATGAGTGTAAAACCATAACATTTTCTTTCAATCCAACAAGGAAGATCTCGATCTCGGACAGAATCTCATCGTCTTTATTGCCATGTCCATTAGCAAGAGCTAGGAGAAGCTGAGATCGTGTAGGCACCAAGCGAGACAGCAACTGCAATTAATTTTAAGATCTAAGTTCCTTCCATATACACAAAGCTATTTAAGCTTACGCCAAACAGTTGCTGGGCCATCCAACCGTGATATGGTTCTAAAGCCTCTTTGTACGATTTCTTAAGAAATGCTACCAAATCTTCGGTTGCCTTGTCAGCTTTATGATCTTCTATGATCTTCTCAAAGAATAACAGAATCATATGCAGTCCTCTGAAACATAATGTCGTTATATTATTTCCAAGTAAAAAAATTATATAAAATTATGCCTTGTTACCTTCTCAACCATAGTAAAGCATCAGTAGCTATTATAGTTTCTCCAGCAGCCTTTTCTAACAGAATCATGTCTTGCAGTGTATCGTGACTTTCACGATCCAGTGTATATTTTGTCGTGAGTTTCTAAAAGTACGATATAAAGCTTTAATATTTATATGTGACAATTAACTCAGGCAATGAACAAGTCTCTACTTACATCAATATTTCCCTGCATGTCATACTTGACAGGAGCAAATAATTTCCCAAATTTATCTAAAACGTTTAAATGCTTATCCTGTGATTGTAAGGGTTAGAAAATATCCACGTGACTTTGCAAATGACACTTACCGACCATGTGTACGACACCTCGAGAAGCCGTCAGAAATTCTTCAGTGGGAATCTTCCCTTCATGAATTTTGGGAAAAGGGAGAAAATTCTTCTCTTGAAGGTCCTCGTTCTCCCGATTGCGCACACCGCCGTTCGGCGCGGACATTTTCCTTTTGTGTCCCTTTGCGAATAGTTAATTGAGGTTAGAAAGATCTGATCTCGCAAGTTTCGAGTTCGCGATTCTTTCAAAATCCGTTATCAACAAATTATTCATGCTGTCAAATGAATGTATATATGGGACCGCGCTACGTCATACTCTGTATGTATTTATGTATGTACATTAAATCACAATAATGATTTTTCTATTTTGATTTTCCTGCTACGAATGCAGTGCCGCTTTGATAGAACCACATACATTATTTTTAACTTTACCAGAGATGAGTTGGGAGATTGCTCACGGGCAGAGTTGCGCGTCGCATCCTGTGCTGTCCGTGAGCAATCTCCCTACTCATCTCTGCTATGCGCGTTAGTCTATGGAGAAACTTGGTCAAGACCGCATGCGCAATCTCCAAGAAGCAACAAGTACGAGTCAAGTATTTGACAACACTTTTCGAAAATGTCTATTGGAGTTTCTAGGTGAGAATTAAAGAATTCGAAGAGAGAATCGAGAGACGGGAGCATGGAAAAGTACGAAGTACTCGGCCAGGTGGGCGAGGGCTCATTCGGGCAAGTCTACAAAGCAAAAAAGCGCTCAGACGGCGAGATAGTCGCGTTCAAAGTCATTAGAAAGGTGAGCAAAAGGAAGAAGCACGGCGGTTAATTCCATAGATTCCATATTTATAAATAGCGACAACTAATTCGATCTGACTTGCACAGCGTGGCCGCTCCGAGAAAGAGCTGAAGAGTTTACGCCAAGAATGTGAGATCCAGCGTCACCTCTGTCACCCTAACATCGTGCAGATGCTGGACTCCTTCGAAACCAAACACGAAGTAATTCAGATTAGCTAGCTGGATAGAAATTAAGTCATTAGTAGTGCCGGCACTTTTGGAGAATCTGGAGGGTACTTAATTTAGTAGCGCCAGAACTAAATACTGCTCGGTGTTCGAGCCTTTCAACAAAAGATTCGTATCATTTTCAGATCGTTGTTGTGACCGAATATGCGGACAAAGAATTGTATGAGATCTTGGGAAAGGCTGGACGTTTGTCGGAAGAAAGAGCTCAAGTGATTGCTTGCGATCTCGTCTCTGCTCTCTATTATTTACACTCGAACAGAGTGCTACATAGGTTTGGCATTTAATTAATAAGAAAATATTGCTTAAGCAATAAATTGCATTTCTTAGGTGATTTGATTTTAAATACAGGGATTTAAAGCCACAGAATGTACTGCTCGAGGCAAATGGGGTCGCAAAGTTATGTGACTTTGGATTTGCCCGTAGCATGAGCACAGGCACGCACGTTTTGACATCTATTAAAGGAACTCCTCTGTACATGGCACCAGAGTTGATCGAAGAACGTCCTTATGATCACAATGCCGATTTGTGGTACGTTTTGCATGGACACATTGCCTTAAAATGTGTTAAACATAAAGTAAAACTCTTACCATGAGCTTTCATTATAGGTCCTTGGGTTGTATAGTGTACGAATTAGTGGTGGGCACGCCACCTTTCCAAACAACTTCCATACTGCATTTAGTGAAACTCATACGTTGCGACCCGGTCAACTGGCCCGACTACATATCAGGGAGTTGCAAGAGTTTCCTGCAGGTCCCAGCAATTCCGTATTGAATCGATTAATGAACAACACTTTGAAGTATAACATATGATTAAACTTTTTAAAATTTAGGGCTTGTTGCAAAAAGATCCGTCTCAACGCCTAACCTGGCCCGAGCTTCTAGACCACCCTTTTGTAAAGGACCGTATCTTAACTGTTGGAGGCACAGCACCAACTCCGTTTACGACACCGTTATCAGCTAGTCAAGCCCGAGCTAAGCAACAACAGTTGCAGAGCTTGTCGATGCATTCGACAAGTCGTTCCAAGTGAGCAACTTCCTTTTTCTGAATATACCATAAGACTTTGATTTATTTACTGTATGTGTTCAGTATGACTCTTCACCCACTGCCTAAGAACACTAGCAGTGTTGTAGTTCCACCTATGGCAATCTTTCTCATCTATTCTCATCGATGCATGTCCTAAAGATGACGTTACCTAATGGTACTAGACATTTTTTCTCAACGTAGAGTCTTAGAGAAGGCGGTCCAAAAGATTCAGGACCAAGAACGGAAGCTACGAGAGCAGCGTCACCGAAACTGCATGTCCCAGCCCCGTTACCCCATGACCCACGGTTTTTGCCAGTACCAGCCAAGTCAGCAATGCCGCATCCTGCGCCACAGCGAACCCAGTGGAACCGACTCCAGTGCAAGCGTCGACGTACTTCTAGGAAATCTCAGCCTGAGAGCTTCCTTGCGGAGCGACCTGCTAGCAGCTGATCACGCTCTCTGCCAAAGCGACTGCCCTAACAACGGATCCTTCCGGAACAAACCGAGCAACGAGGGATATAACATGCAGCGGGCAGAGTCGCAGCAGCACGAAGAGGTCATTAAGCGCCGTGGAGAGGACCTGGTGAACACACCGGTGAACGGCCAGGGAGACGGAGCGAACATTCCGCAGCCTCCAGGGACATCTCCCGTCACCGAGGGACGTCGTGGCGACGGGGACTGCAAGAAAAGCCGACTGAGCATGGACTACGAGCTCGAGTTTGGAAATTCCGAGAAGCAAACGAGATTGCCCGACTGGGACCCCAAGGCTGTAGAGAGGCCGATAGAGAACGAGGAGTGGGTGGCCTTTCTTCAGCGCTCCATGGAGGAGGTCATGGAGGGCGAAGTGGGCTCCCTGCTCCAGCAGAACTGCGTTTCCGTTTTCGTTTCACCTCTAAGAAATCCCGCTGCGGGGTGTAGAGTCGTCGAGTACGTCGCTTGTCTGCTCTCGCTCCCTTTCGTCGTTTCCGTCAGCCGTAAGGACCTGGACAAGATAGAAAGGGTGTATCTGGATGTCAGGGTGGTGCCGAACCTGGTCTACGCGATGAAACTGTTGATGACGGAGCGCAGCGATGCGGACGTCGGCACGGGTACCGGTTCCGGAAGTGATCTCGGCGCTAGGTCGGCCTCGACTCTGTCTGCTGATGAATTGCAAGCCCTGGAGTGCGCGATGCTCCTTCTGTGCAGACTGGTATACGTTAACGAGCAGTTCCTCACGCAGTTCTGCGACGCCGTCTACATAGTCAGCGGCATGCCGCTTCTGCAGCAACTCCTCACCCTCGAGAAGAGGAAAGCCAGAGTCGTCGCCGATCTCGTCGCGATCCTGAATAACATTTTGCGCTCCCAGCCGGAGAACGCGGAGTTAGTTGAGCGGGTCATACTCCGCTCCAAGACTCCAGGTGAGTGTTGGTAGAGCCGGAAACTGGACCTCGATGACGAGTACCACTAAGGACATTTCTTCGTGATCAAGGGGGAGGCGTCGAGTTGCTTAGCAAGTTGCTGACCCACCGTCAAAGCGTCCTGCGAGCTAGGGCCTGTACCCTGGCCAGACTCCTAGGGAGGTTCTGCTGCAGAGCTCTTCAACAAGTCTGGGGCAGACCTCTGAGGAACCTCCTGGAAGCGCTCACTCTGGATGACGATGGCAACGTCAGACACGTAAGACTGCAAGTTTCTGCATGCTGAGTAGCTTCGCCACGAATGGTCTCTTTTATCACCGTGAGGGGTTTTCAGGCCGCCGAGGATGCCGTTGGGGAATTGAAGCAGCTCTTGTACTACAATCAACAGAGTCCTGCTGGGTAGACTTGGCGAAAGGAGTACACCAGTGCCTTCGGGATAAGGAAAGATATCGCGATACTCATATTTTTATACCTACGTTATGGCACCGTTAATAAATTGTGACGTGTTTTATGCGTCGCTGGCCAACTTTAATTCCACCTCTCGTGAAGTGCGCCCGCTGTGATTTCGATATTTACAACCAAGGGTTGTTCTACGTTCCACCGTCTTTGGATTTATTTTCTCTGAATGCGGCGTTAGAGGATGTTGAGATGTCCTGGAAAATGGCGGAAGAACGTGACGCGGGTAGAAGAGAGTCGTCGGAACTTTTTACATGTTTTAAGGTCGAGAATAGTTGTGGTCAACTCGTTATTAGAGGTTGAGGACGGCAGTCGGTACTGTTCTATTTATTCTACATGTTAATTGAAAATCCAATCGATCACTTCGTTCTCAATGGAGTCACTATTGCTCTGACTGTCCGATTTGCGTTTGCGGCACTCCTGTTTGTACATCATCTCCAGCTTCGCCATGTCCTTCTTGCTCAATCCGTCACGCTGCCCAAGTTGCGCCTCATCCTCCTTTTTCTAGAAATGGGATTTCCTTTGCTTAACCGCTACCCAACTAAACCATGTACTAAGAACTTACGGTCGGTGAAATCGTCGGCTCGCCGTTTTTCGAGAACGCATGGGTACTGTAGTGCATCACGCTGTTATAGTCGTAGCCAACACCGTAGTCAGTGATAGTGCGGTTATCATACTTATTGAAGTTGTGCTCTTTGCCTGGAAGGCAAACAGGACGAAATGTCAGAAACTTAACCATATGTTCTACAGTAGGAAGGTGAACCAGAGACCGCAAAAGGAAGCCTTACCTTCCTTGATGTTCTCCCAATGGATCTGGATCCAATCGTCCCGGTCACTGGCACTTTGCTGATGGTAGAACCCCAAAGCGTGCAAGAATTCATGAATGACCACCCCATGACGGAGGCATCCAGGGTTCTGAAGGTTCAACACCTGGCCTTGTCCATGGCGACCCACCAGAGACCAGCATCCAGATTTGGACCCCTGGACGATCACGTAATCTTGATCCGTTTCCTTGTACTTCCTAAAGCGCAGACAAGTCAACTTGTGGTAATCCTCAATGGCGCCATTGATCACCGAGATGTCCTTTTCGTCTGCACCATAGATAGGAAGAGAGAAGATTTAGTAAGGAGCCTCAAGTGTCGGTGCAAGTAGAAGAAAAGAGGATCGCCGTACCGAAGTCCTTCTCCTGGATGTAATAGGGCACGACACCTTCCGGCCATCTAGCTGTCTCGTTCAAAAGCCCGTTCTTCGAGAAAGGACTGTCCGGATGGAACATGATGTCGCCCTCATCGAGTCCACTCAGTTCCCAGAGATTGCCCTTCTCGCTCGGCGTCCAGGACCTCAAACGCTCCGCTGGAGCGGATTTCATCGATCAACTCGTGAATCGGTCCAAGGACCTAACGCTACTCCATCTCACCCCTTACCGACTTTCTCGTGGTCATAGTTCTCGGCGAAGACACCTCTGTACTTCGGTTCAGGAGGGACCACAACGCCCTGAGCCCCACGTCGAGTCCTCGCCGGGGAAGCTCCACTCGCGGCGACTCCGAGCACCAGCAACAGGAACTCACGGGAAACCATGGCGATTAGTGGCGTGGCAGGAAGAAAAATAGGAAGAACAGTATACTTCGGACCTCCCCCGAATATATATACCCAGCAACCGAGCTTATCTTCTTAGGATTTCCTTGCAGATATGTTAAGTGGCGCGTTATCACTCGGCAACGCGCCACGAATGCCTAATTTCGTATCCTGGCCCCTGTCACCTGTCCGCACCACCGAAACAAACAGAAGCTCGATTTCGTCGAGAAGCGATTGCAACCATTCGTATGATTTCCCGAGGAGGCGACAGCTCCCTTATCGGGGAACGCCAAAGCGGTATCGCGACGATAAGTCGGAGCTATCTGCCAGGTCCGGCCGAAATGTCGACACGCGATGGTATCGCAATTGCGGGCGACTTAATCAGATGTCATTCGTCAATTCATCTGGCTTAGTGAAATCTCTTAATTAGATCAGGTTCTCGCTTAAGGAACGGATAATCGGCCCGGTTGGAATCTCTGGAAAGTGGAGGCGCCCAATCTCGCCTTGGCTCGGCATCCGGCCTGGGGTCTCTTCTGGGGTTCCTGGGAGTCCCCTGGACCCCCTTGGACTCCTCTGAGCCCCCCTTAGACCCCCCGGAGCCCCAGGGCCGAGCATGTGGGTCAAAACGACCCGGTAGCCGACAGCCGCGTAATGCGGACTATCAGCCTTATCTCCGTATCTTTACGAGGCGCTCGCCTGGTTCGCCTCATTCGGCTCTTTCACCGATTCGTCTCGGCATTGTGCCGTTCAGGAATTTCGTTCCTCGGGGCCAGGTCTCGATACCGACACTCCCTCTTCCTCTGGGAGGATAGGAGAGAGAAACGGTCCACGGGAATGGACGGTGCCCTATGGTTCTCGCAAATCGGAAGATACAGAGGTTCATTATGACCAACAATGGGGAGCATTTCGACGGGGCTGGTGGACCATCCTGGGATTCTGATTAGGATGCCGATAGGAAGGAAGACAGAAATAAACCCTGGAAAATAAACAGTGCCCTATGTAGCAGATTCGAAGATACGGAGGTGGAATTTTTATGGGAAGCGCTTCGGGATGCTGTTGGCGGATCATCCTAACTGGGACGACGTTGGAGAGGACAGTATCAGGACTCTGAGGAACGACTAGAAAATCCGTTCCTGGCAGCGCAGAAGGTGGAATCCCTCGTGCCGTTTTCCTGGCGGAGCCTTCAGATCGACACCGGACAGCGGTTTCGGGCGCGTTAGACACGGAAGCGCGTTAGAAGCCCTATGGAGCAAATTTGAAGATATGGAGGTGGAATTTTATTGGGAAGCGCTTCGGGATGCTGTTGGCGGATCATCCTAACTGGGACTACTAGGAGAAATGAGATTTCTGGGACGACGTTCGTGAAGACGGTATCACGACTCTGAGGAGCGACTAGAAAATCCGTTCCCGGCAGCGCAGAAGATGGAATCCGTCGTGCCGTTTTCCTGGCGGTGCCTCCAGACCGACACCGGACAGCGGTTTCGGGCGCGTTAGAAACGGCGATAGAGAGAACCGGCATCGCGGAGGCTCGGCCCAGCTGCGGAGGTGGAGGCGTCGAGGGAAGGAATCGACATGGCCGAGGCCAACGACCGTGCCGTTCCAGATTCGGCGGTAGCGATCCTCGTAGCCTAAATTCTAACCGGACTCGCCATGGAACCGCGAGAGAGCCTCGATCTCCTACGCTTCTCCGAGAGGAGACCAATAGGCTTTTCGCCTCATCCGCGGTGCAGATCCGGGGTTTACCGGTCCTGGGCGGAATCTGCAGGGGAATTTCGACCTCTCCCGCAAGGCCAAACCTGGGGCACTATTCGCCAGGACCTCGAGACTCGATGGTCCCCTCTGGGCGGCGTTTCAATCGTCCCTGTTCCATTTAACTCCGACGAGAGATGATCCCCGTCGAGAACTTCTTGCGGAACGTGGGTCAACGATCGCCGAAAGCTTCGGGCGATAGATAGAATAGAAGTGCCCATTAGTTAGTAGAACTTAACGGAACGTAGGAGATTGCAGAAACCTCCGATGGTCCGGGGTCGCGCCTCCAGCTGTTACGATCTATGCCAGGATGCAGCGCGGAGGCCCTTGACGCCTAGCCACGAGCTTTTACACGAATTGGCCGTGCGCATCCGCGCTTGACGTCGCCTCAAGTCCTACTTCTATGTCAATGACTCGTGTCGAGAGTCAAACGATTCGGCCGAGAGAAAGAGAGAGTCGATCGCGAGGAAGAGCCACCTGGGGAAGGAGCCTTTCTGGTCTTTCTCCTTCGCGTTTCGAGGATTCACGCGCCGACTCTCCGGGTATTTCCGGCGCCCTTGAACGTCGATCCTCTCGGTTCCCTGCCTTTGTTTCGTTTAGGCAACGTCTCGACGGTTCTTTCTCTTCGTGGCCGAACCTTTGTTGGATCCAGAATCGCGGATTTTATATGCTCGAGGTAGAATCGCCCGGCTTTTGCCAATTTCGGTGCACCGTCCGGTCGAGCGGGAGGTGGAATCCAGACGAGCGATACGGAGGTGTGCTGCGGGTATTTTTAGCGGCACAACAGTTAACCTCTTTACCCTGCTTTACGATCCTCTCGGTGCGCTTTTGCATCGCGGGTCCACCGACGCCTCTCTCTTTTTTCCTCGGTACTTATTTCAGTTACGAATCCCAGGCGTCCCTTAGAAACCCGCTCCGAAACCGCGCGACCAAATCCCAGTGGTACCTTCTGTCGGAGGACCATTGGATAAGATGTTAATACGTTATCGACGTCAAAAGAGCATGATTGCAGAAAATTAATAAACTTATCGTTGGCAAAAGACAACCGAACCAGTCGCAATTGTCGTAACCAAGCCGGACTCAACGGCGATCTCGTCGAAGTGACCTCGTCAGTCATTCGATGGAAATTAATGGTTGAAATGAAAATACCGGAATTTAATCGTTGAGGTCAAAACAATGAAAATCGATTGTTAATGTCAAAACTCCCCCGCCACGCGGCCAGAAAAAAAATGGATAACGTAAAATCGTCCGAAAGAGGTGCATCGGCATCGAGGAGGACTTCCCCGGGCAAGAGGTCGATCTTGAACGACTGCCACCCCGGATGAGCGGGTCAAGAGGTGATTTCCTGGTCCAAAGGTGCAACCGAGACCGCAGAAGACGCATCTTGGGATCGTCAAATGCATGTGGGAGTGCGGGAGCCGAAATCGTTGGATTTCCGAGGGCCCCTTGGTCAGGGGCCCAGGGCCCAGCGCGGAGAATCGCCGGGCCCCGCGTGAACCACTGACCCACTGGGACCACTCGGGACCACTCGGGACCAGCGGGACCAGCGAGACCAGCTGGGACCGTCCTGATGTATTTCGGTAGTGAGTGAACTGGGCGAGCGGCGCCGGACCTTCGCGGGTCGTTGACCTCTTCCCTCCCGGCCCACCGCCCCTCTTCCATTTCGCGTCCTCCGCGGCCGCCCCTTCCTCTCCTTGCCACACTTCTCTCCTCCACTTTCGAGAAGCAGTCCACTGTGTGGTACCGAGGCCCGGGACGGCGCTCTATCGATATTCGATATATCGACACGTCCAACGGGAGAGATTCGGCGGAGCGTAGGTCCGGATTCGGCTGATTAAAAATTTTCTCCACCGCCGTACACCGTTTAAATTTCAATATAACAAAGGGAGCATTTAACGAGACATGTGCCTGACGTGTACACAAGTAGATGCGTGAATTAAATGATTTTTTACGCACTTTTGCCGTTGCGTACCCGAGAGGAGAATAATGGACTAGTCGTTTGGGCGAGGAGAACCGAGGAGACTTTTTTTTTTGGAGCGGTGGGACCGATTGGGGGGAGGAGGGAAATTTAGGGGACCGCTTCGATGGCGACTCGTTTTGGGGACCAGGGACCAGGGACCAGGCCCGAGCGACTGCAATCGGAGAACGCAACGTGTGCCGAACCTAAGAACCGGAACCCTCCCGGGACCGTTAGAAAGGATACTCCGGGATCCGTCGCGGTGTCGAATAGGCCCGGGTTTAAAAAAAGAAAACCAGCTCGACTATCGCCATTTCTCCGATCGAACGGCGTCGAAATCGCGCAGACCCGAAATGTCCGTAACGGCACCTCGTCTGGGCCTCTACTCTTCGGGTCCTCCGACTCGATCGTTTACTTAGTCTTAGCTCGATCGGTCACCGACTTCGATCGAGACTTTGAAGCGCCCCGAAAGGGTATTGTCCATGGGATGTCGCACGTTTTAAATAAGAGCTAGAAATCGTATGAGAAATGAAGCGAGATAAAAATGAAAAGGAGCCTTATATATTGAGAAATCCTGTCAAAAGTACCTGCCTTTTCTAGTTGAGGTTTTGGATAGGAGCCTCCAATGTTGAATATGGGAAAACCCGGTGAAATCACCAAGAATCGATAGAAACTGATATTTTTGTGCCGAACGCTATCACTGAAGGCGTATCGTCCGAGCCCGATGACTTGGAAATCCCTGAAGATCGCTCGACACTACCGATATTTTATTATTGATATTTTTGTGCCGAGAGTCATTGCTAAATATGCCGTTTGTTATTGGAAATGGCCCTTTTGACGTATTTCGAAGGAAGAGCCTAGGAATAAAAGCCCAGGACCAGTGGAAGTGTCAGAGGATACTCGGGCGTATCGTTCGAATCTGACGACCAACAAATCACTAAAAATCATTAGAAATTCCCAAAAGTCATTACTAGGATGCATTGCGATTTTTCCGTATTTCGTGGGAAGAGTCTAGGAATAAAAGACCTGGACCAGTCGAAGTGTCAGAGGACATTCGAGCGCATCGTTTGCATATGACGACCGACAAATCGCTAAAAATCATTAGAAATTCCCGAAAGTCATTACTGGGATGCATTACGATTTTGCCGTATTTCGTGGGAAGAGCCTAGGAATAAAAGCCCAGGACCAGTGGAAGTGTCAGAGGATACTCGGGCGTATCGTTCGAATCTGACGACCAACAAATCACTCAAAATCATTAGAAACTCCCAAAAGTCATTACTAGAATGCATTGTGATTT